TAACACAGTTAAAACATGACTTAAGAAAAATGGATAAATTGACCTGTCCAGAAACTAGAATAAGGTATATGAGTTTAACATAGTAACCGACACTACAAGTTGTTATGATTAAAAATTCCATTTTCAAGTATTTTTTTGGAGATGGTGCTAGCATAAACCAATCCCTTTCAATTATTTATCGAGTCAGTAATTTTTTGCCAAAGCTTGACAGATATAAAATCCTTCAAACGGATGAAGAAACCTGAGCTATGCGTACAAAAGTAATATCATCAACCTCTTTTGATCCCCTGGCCAACCTCAAGGCCAATTAAACAATAGTAACCTTAGCTATTGAATGACCTAATTTGACTACTGTACTTAAGACCTTTCGTAGTCAAATTTAATGTTCTCTGTTATTTTTATTCACAAATCTTTGTATTATTATTATTATTATTATCATTATTATTATTATTATTATTATTATTATTATTATTATTATTATTATTATTGATTAAACATTCATATTAATCTCCCCAATACATGATTCATTTACTTTGCATTCATCCCACCTTATTATGTCTTACTAATATTTTTTCACACAGTATCGTCTTCTATTAAACATTTGATCGAATTGTAATGGCACTATAATCTCTCTCACCCTATCTGACCCATATTTATTCTGATTATGGATCTTAGATTTCCACTTAACATATATGCAGATTCAAGTTAACATTCTATATGAGTCATATCCCCATTAACAATTTTATTCTATTTTGTTTGACATTCCTAAATTCACATGCTTTAACTTGAAACGATACACTTTGCCCTTAACTTGGCCATTTTCCGGATTATTACTTTGGATATATAATTGTAGAACCTGAAGATAATTTATCGAAAAGAATATTCTTCATGGAAATATTAGTCTGTTATTAGGTTAATCTTAAACTAACCAGATATGTAAGCCTTAATAAACTAAGAGAGTAGTTTGTGAATTATATTTAAGAGATTTTTTAAATTAATATTTAAGACTATTCTGAAAAAGAACTTCTCAAGAAGCTAAAGAATAAAGAAGGAACGAATCAAGCGAAGAGATTTCTTTTCAATTAATAAACATGTATGATTTACAATAATGAAATAATACTCATCTAGTGGATACGTTACGTAAGAATTACATAATGACATTTCAGTTATAAATCAACATTGAGTAATTGGAAGAAAGAGGATTAATGATAATCAAATTATTTGAAAATCAAGAAGTTGCTTCGTTACATAACATATGAAAAAGCGAAGGAACAGAATATTTTGATGAATGGTCAGTAGAATCGTAGTTATGTAAGAATCAAGAGATGAATGTTGAGAATATTTAAAATACAAAGTTCAAAAAACAAAATGGAAGAAGTACTAAAATAGTTTATCAATGTTCTGTTACAAACGCCCCTATATCGATGGCCAAGGTATTGAAAGTGGTTGTACACACTTCTTTTGGATGCAAAGGTTAGGTTTGTGAACACGACATCACACCTGTATACAGTCAGCAGTACGACTTCACCCTTGGATCTGGGTTTGGTGCTTCTAGTCTTACTGTTCTCCAACCGACATGTCTGGCATTTTTCAACATTTTCAGCTAAAGAATACTTCAAATTAATTTTGGATGACCATTGTATTTGGAAATTTTCTAATGAAGTTTTGAAGCTGATGCATGAATTTTTTATTTTAACTGATTAGTTAAGCGCTTAAATTTATACCAGTTCCAAATTCAATAACTTCAAACCCATTCGGAATAATTTTCCCACCCACTAAATTTTGACAATGAAATAACCTTAGAAATAGATCTCCTGTCACATTTTTGTTTTTGGATTTTATTCAGAAATCAAAGATCATGGATTTATGAGAGCCTAAACCTCAGTAAAGAATTTAGCATCACAAAGGTTCAGGGAATCTGATTTAACAAATGGTAAATTTTATAAGAAAATAAACTGCTCATCTGTGGATATTTAGTAAATTATACTTAGATATTGACTTTTACAATTATAAAAAATAAAAGATGACTACTTACACAATATTTAAGTGGTTTGAAGTAAAATAAAACACCATTTACCGCAAAAGCCTGTCTGAAAATGTTATGTAAAAAATTATCCTTATTGATTTCCCCAAGTATATGGATGAATGAAAATGAGATAGTATGATTATGAAAATTCGTATAAAATTCCATGGGGAATTCTTCAAAGCTAAGAAAGACTGAAGGTTTAAGCGGTTACTTTACTCAAAAAATAATTCATATGACAGTATATAAGATTTGTTAATTCAATAATATACACAAAACGGTAATGTAAACGTCCGTTGGAAGTTTATATATAAGTTGATCATCTAAACATTATGAAATTAAACACTAGTAATGATAAAAGCTTGGTGGATTTCAGGAATCTGAAGAACGAACTCTATACAAATAAAAAATTGTATTTAAAGACAGATATTGACGTACTTCTCCAAACCTGTCTAGGAGAATCCACGTAGCCTGTAAACTTTTAGAATAATGATCAAAGGCTTATTTAATACACCTGTCCCAATAAGGTTGTTGAGAAATTTAGACATAAAACGTCGAGAGATGTTCAGGAATCCTTCGAAGACATTTATCTATCAGAAGTTATGACAATACATTTAGTTCCTGTATAGACAGAAAAGGTACCGTTCATGGTATCTGCAAACTCATAGAGAGTAGTTCTATAAATATAATAGAGCATGTCTACATATAGGAAACATTTTTGAATTCTTTTAGTTTCCCTGACCACGCACAAATACTTAATGCGATCTTCAGTGTTTGTCATTTATTTCTCTGTTGAAATCATTTTCGAACTTAATTTGCTTTGACTCTATGTCCACAATAGAATGTCTGTAAAATTTGTACGGAACACATTGTCATACACAATCTTCAAGTCTTGCTTTTACCTTGTTTGGGAATCTACCTTTTATTCATTCTATCTGGTCTGGTTCCCAGTTTATTGTTTCACAGATTTACTCCAGAGTATCTTTTTACATAAATTTCCCGTTTTATGTTTTGTGTCCTTGTTTTATTTTTACACTCAAATTTAATGACTTTCTGAAAGAATTATCTTACCTCAACTAGTTCAGTTGTACATTCTGACAGATTGTGTGCACAAAAGAAGTACTTCTTGTCCCGACCATTACCATCCCCTTAAACAATCACTATTATTGTTTTATTTCGTACTTGAAAGTATTCCCCTCTCTCTTTATTTACTTCTCATATCTCTATGATTTTAATCATAACTGTTTCTGACATCACTTTATTTCATTTTGATTATGATTACGGTGGGCATGAGTGCTGCTATAGGTATGAGGGCGGTTTGCACTTACCGGTTGCCCACACTGTGGAAGGGTTCTGCTAGAGGTATCTGAAAAGGAAGTAGGATTAGAGGTGGACTTAGTGACCCGAGAGCGTGACTGTAGTGTTCAAGGGACAACTGCTTGAGGCCCATTAAACGACCTTCATGTGGGTAATTTTCGTGTTGGCTCCCTATTGTTGGGGCCTTTCCACCGGAGACGGAAATCCATGGGATAAGGCAAGGTATGCATTTATAGGGTCGACTTTTTCTGACCCCACCCTTTCTTATGTAAAGGTAGTACCTCTGTTATGCTAGTTGTCTGAGAGAAATACCTTAATGCCGTCACACCTTTATACAGTCAGCAGTACGACTTCACCCTCGGATCTTGGTTTGCTGCTCTTTAACCAACATGTCTGGTATTGTAAGACCTTGAGGAACGATTGTTTCGGCCAGTATAGCCTGGTTGGTTCATCACAATAGGCAAGTCCGACCACCACGTCAAAGTTGCAGGGACGTTCGAGATCGGAGTGGTGTTCGAATTTCTCTGATGTTGTTCAGAAGAACGATGAAAGCTCCACGACCAAACCATTCAGCTCAGAGAACAAAACTCCACTAAAAACGTTCGGGATCATTTCATTTTACCCCTCTATTACCTTTAATTATTGTGACAAGAACATTTTAATTATCTTACTCCATTCTATTGGTAACTTATTGGTTTTGTAAGGCTTTTTATTTATGCACAGTCTTTTATTGTTACTATTTATACTACACAATCTAGCATAATAAGTTTACGATTACATCAAATTTATTCACTGTTCATATGTCCTCATGGAATTACTACTTAAAATTTGATATAGATATACATACGATCGTATAACTTGAAAATAAATTCTCGGGAAAGAGATCCCTTGCACGAACTTCATGTTTTGAATGTTTAAATGGGGATTATATGTCTAAATAAGTAGAGGAGATATATGTTGGTCACGATCAATAAAAACGAATCAACCAATTATATTTAAGTCAAACACCCACCAACTAAAACTCACTTTGTTCTCAGAACGACTGTCTTTTGTTAAATCTATCAATTAAACAATTGCACGATTTTCTATAAACGTGACTAAGTTCCGATGGATTCATTTGCTGTGCCCTTTAATCACTATTCTATATACACCAATTTTCACCGCCTACCTTTCTCTAATACGGCCTCATGATTTTATGTCCTTGAAATAATTTTGTTAATTTATAGTTTAGCATGAGATTAAAGTTTCGCGACACCGTTTACCTGTTTTGACTTTCGTTAAACTATGACTGTGTTTGACAGAGACGGGTTTAGAAAATGTATCTGTAATGCAACTAAATCCAACATAAATACGTATGTGGATTGCACAAACGGATTTCGAGAGATATTTTCACTATTTTTTTACTATATCAGACTACATTTTGGCTCAGTTTATTTTAAGTCTATAGACATTGTTGGATCAAAATGATAAACATATGACGAAAATACGGAGAATACTTCCGAGAACTAATACTACTACTTATAAGTAGCTGAACAAAAATCTCGTCACTTTGATAGATTACAGTAATAAACATCAAATTAGTTTCTTAATACTATCTACTTTAAAAAGTTAAACTTGACTCCAAAAAATCCCGAATCGAAAAGAGTAGAAGACTATAAATCCAAAATATCAACTATTATTATTATTATTTGTTCATTTATGTGTAAGTTTTTTTAGAAAAAAACATAGCAGCACTAACCGTTATTGTGAAAATTGTTTTGTTAATGATGGCTTGTGTAAGGTTCTTATTCACAAAAAAAGAAAGAAAATGGATCATACGAGTACGATCAGCGCATATTTTCAGAATAAAGTCATATCTATCTTGTTTGTTCGATTGTTACATTCATAATTACACTTAAATTATTTGACATATTTATTCAAGTGATAATTTTAAAAATTGTAGTGCGACTCGCACATACACAAACAAACATACATACATACACATATACACACAAGAAACATATATATGTATACTGTACACGTACTCAACAAGTACAATATGTATATGCATAACTAGGTCTGAAAAAGATTTCCGTAGGGTTGACACAATAATAATTGTAGTCATAATAAAGGTAAGTGATAAAAAAACTGAAGTAGCGAAAACAGTAAACTGTGGACAGGGGGAAGGTTAGGAAAGAGAATGTGAATTGCTTGTCTAATTTACACATATTTAGTCCACTATTGTTAGAGTTAATGTCCACATGATAACGTAGCTACGGACGTGGATATATATATATATAGTAAACAAAAGAAAAAAATTAGCATGTAAACATGGAAGAAGTAGATTTGTAGAAATAAAGAAATATACAGGTAAACATCTCTGGGGAAGAATGAAATATAGTAGGAATCACAAAGACGGTCACAAGACAACAACAGTGATAAGAATACAAGTAACATCAGGAGTTGTGTTTTTAGAAGAGCCCAGTAATATTAAAAATCGAGAGGTGAAGTAAATCAATAATATTTAATGAATGTAGCTCGAATTTCAGTATTTTTCAGATGGCAGTTTTGAAGAAAAATAGGCAATATTGACGGTCTTCCAATTATTGTTATAAAAGAATGATGATTGTTAATTATTTCCGTAGTAGTTATTTTGAGAAAACGAAGAAAAAAGAGGTGAAAAACGCAGACTGATAAACAAAACTACATACTACACCAATAAACAAAAATAAGAGAAATATCATCTCGTAATTATTTCCTTTTCATTTAGAAAAGCAATAAACATAATCAGAAAGTGTAATGACGAAGGAGGAGGTTATGTCGATGGTAAAAGTGAGGAGTGAGAAAACACTGAATAAGTAGCTGTTATACAATAGTAGTCATAATAGTAATTGTAGTAGTAATTTACATAATCAATAATTTTATTTGTTTAATTGTGATAATGTCAAGTATGAAAAGAGAAAAAGAAAGAAGTGAGTTACTGTGAGGAATTATGGTCAACTGAATGTTTATACAGAAAATTATGATAAACCTAATTAATATTAGATTGGATAAAATGTTACACTATCTTTAAACTTCTCTACATTAGTTCAGAGATCACTGTTATTGTTGATAACGATAATAAGAGGTTGTTTTTATTTTCTTTTTTTGTTTACAAAGAAATGAACAAATGAAAGGGAACAATGAGGATTATAGTATTTCTGTTCAGATTGGTGGTTCATAAAACTCTTAATTAACAATCTTGGCATATATAAAGTAGAAATTTTGTAAGAAGATATTTTACAAGATATCAGCAGTGACGGAACAGAACGAAGAATTAATCAACACTCATTTTTCACTATTGTACATACTACACACATGTAAATGTATATCCATATACATAGTGAGGCAAACTAGTCAACGCATATACTTTTATTATAATCATGATTCTGTGTTTTAACTAATTGAAAATAAACTATTGGGAATGAGCTGAAGATATGGACTTTCCTCTCTTTCTCTCAGTGAACCGGTGATAATAATAAATCTCAGAGAAAATTAAATAAACAGAAATAAGTGTTTTAAGGAATGCCAAAAAGTAATAAAATAAACAAATTGGGAAAGAAATAAACACATATACAAACATATAATGAAAAATGAAAGACAGTATAGATCAGAAGTACAGAAAGTTTCTTTCATGAACTAATTAACTTATTAATGATAGTAACCATATTAGTTTTATTAAGACTTTTTTTTTTAAAAAGTACACACTGAAACTAAATTGTACATATTATTATTAGTTGAATGAGATGTACACATATAAATGGATACCTCAAAACATCCAAATACTGAACATGTATGTTAGTGATAAAGAAATCCAAATAATCATAGATGTATGTGCGAATACATCTACATACACGTAATCATACAAATAAGAATACGGAAAAATAGTTTTACAAACAATAGGCAGGATTAAACTTTATATTCACAAATAGACACACACACACATACAAGTTTACATTGGTATACATACACACACTTGTAGATTCTGTATGTAAATATTGCTGATATCAATAGATGATAGGGATTAAGAGAATAGATGTATAGATTGTTGTTAGGCACAATAATTTAGTGAGATCATATTGAAAGCACTTTTTGAGCAAAATTCATTTTACGTATACAGTCATAGAAACGAAGGGAGATTGAGTATATGTTGTACAACTGAATTGCTTCATTACTTTGAACACACACACACATATACATAGATACATACATACATGTACACAAATATAAACAACAGTAAACAATAATTGAAGTTATTTCAAATATCACTATGAATTTGATAGCAATTGCTAGAAAAAAACAAAGAGCAAATGTTATCAGTAATGATGTGATCCGTAGAATTGGAAAAAATCTGAAATAATCACACAAGAATCTAATTAAATTATTCACTTTTCTTTTTTACAGCGCATCACATTAAACTTTCTCGTCAATTTGTTGTGAATTATTATCAACACAACTACTACCTGATACATTATAAATAACTTGATCATCATTTAAATGACATACAGCTACTCGTCTTTGATTAGGATTAGTTAATTCAAAATTATTATCATTATTATTATTTGGATGATAAGGATTAGTAGTTTTCATTGAAACTCTTTCATTAGATTCAACAGCAGATTTTGATTGTTGTAAATGTTGTTGAGGATGATAATGATGATGGTCAGTACCAACTACACTGACATTATCACTATTATTATTATTATTATTATTATTATTATTATCATTATTGATATTACTACAGTCTACGATAGATTGTGAATTAAATGCTGGCGATGCAGGTGAACTGTGAGATTTACGCCTTAGTGAATTATCAACAACGGTTTCTTTATTATTAATCACAGCAAGATGATTGGGTGGAGCAGAGGTTAACTGTGGATTACATACATGTTCTGGTGATTGGGTGAAATCAGAATTTCCTTTATGTGTTAATGCACCGGCAGGTATTGGACCTGTAACACCTTCGTATGTTCCACCAACTATTTGTGCACCAGGAGGAATAGGATCAACAATATAACAATCTTCACCATGTAACCAGTACGTTTTTTGACGACCTTTACCCTATACACACGAATATTATTAGGACAAAAATATATTTATGAATTAAGACAATGTGAAGAATAGAATATTTAAGCGACATTCACTTTTCAATATTATTTAAGATTAAATTATAGGTAAATTCAACTGTAAACATACATTTCCTTAAAATTCTCTGTTTTAAAAATTAGTCAACAGGTGTAGTCAATAGGTATAGTATGCATTTGATACAAACGACTGATTAACAGTTGGTAATATAAGCGTACTAAGCTATTTGAAATGATTATACACTTCGCAAGATATTTATTAGTAAAAAGTATCAGGAAGTCAATGATCTAAGTACTGCAATGTTTACGTTACCGCGATCGATAACCACAGAGATCAATTTTGATGCCTATAACAGTTGATTGTACTGAAGAACACCAGTTCATGTTTTAGATATGTAAAGAGACAATCAAAACACAAGTGATAGGATTCGACAAATGCTATGTTCTATTAATTATTATCGGCAGCGACATGTTTCCAAGCTACAACGATGAATATCGATAGATACAGGAGACAAGAGTAGAATGAAGAGTAAACAGTTATTGTTTATGTTATTTAGTTTTCATTTTCAACAATGATTAATGAGTTTATTAACTCAAAGATTATGTTTTATAGTTTAATAATATATATTTAGTAAGTTAATTGATTTTTCTTCTGCGCTAATTACATTAGTAAGTTTTGAATTCATGAAGGTGGACCAGTCAATCATCTGAGTAGGTGAGCAGTCCGGCTACCTGAATTACTGTAGTAATTTTGAGAGTTGCAAAACATTTAACATGCAAAAGATGTGCAATAGTATATATATATATATATATATATATATATATATATATATAAACATTAGACAACGAAACCATTGGATGCCAGCTCAATGATCTAGAAGTTAAGCATTCGCGTGAGACCAAAGGCCTCGGGTTCGAGTCCCGCGTGCGGGCTGCTGACGAGTCGCGTATTAGGACGAAGCGACCATCCAGTGATACCAGGTTTTAAGTGGTGGTCTAACATTAATCGGATTGTGGTTTGAATGAAGCGCAACAATATCCATAACCCCATGCTGAAAAAATATATATAAATAGAGAGAGCGAGATTAAAGTTTATTCAACAATCAATGTACTCACTTTCATTTCAACTAAACCACGTTCAGTCATAATAAATGATTTGAATGTTTTCAATACATCAAATGTTTGTTGACTGATATGAATTTTTAAGGCTAGAAAATGTTTACAGAAGTAGCAAAGTAAAAAAGAACAATAAAAAAATTTAAAGACGGGTGAAATTTTATCATATATTAATTGTATTTATAGCCATAGAAATAGTAGACAATAAGAATTAATTAACAGATAGATACTGGTAAACTTCAACAGAAATACTACAGTTCTTGACATATTGTCTTTTCTATTTATCGTTTAACAAAACAATAGATAAACATATCAGAATACAAGTACCTTTTATATGATGATGGATAGAAAGTCTAGTTGTAATAACTGAACTAATTGGTAGACAATTAAATTGATTAATTACGGGTGGAATACATTTGCTCTTGAAGACATTTTAAACACATTTTGAAATAATTACGATTTTTAGTTCATGTCAAAGACCTGTTGAAAAGCTGATCCCTACTCCCATGAGACCTTAAAATTAAAATTCATTGACCAAATTGCTTAATTAGTTTCATAACAAAATGGTAATGACATGTGAAATAATTAATCCAATCAAAACAGTATCTGTCTATTGTAACAGAGAGGCTAGTGAAGATCAGTCGAATTCGGAGATCTAGAGTTTCACGATGTATTTATGACTGGCGATCTGCTAAAAAATATCTGACTGGCTTACAATTTTTATCTCTGGATGATGACAGACCGTGGTGAAAAATACATTTTAGTTATGCAAATATATTCAACCCAAGTAGACTGATTTACTGTTCACTATTGTGTCTATCGGCTTATGATACCTTTCTACTAATGGAGCCAATGAATTATATTATCATTATCATTACTATCTTAAAGGATAATTAAAACTGTTTCTTCGGATAAAGAAAATAAACTTACGTAAACCATTACTTTCCATTCGTGAAGAAGTATTCACTGTATCACCAAACAGGCAATAACGCGGCATTTTTTGTCCAACAACTCCAGCACATACTGGACCTGAATACACATAAACACACATAAAGAGAACAACGACACTAACAAAAAAGCAAACTAGCGAAGAGGATAAATTAACAGGGTGAAATACACAAATTATGAGTAGCAGCAACTAATGATTGATCATTAAATAGATTACCATAAAAACGGTTGACAATTCACGAATGATAAATGTGGATGGATAGACTGATGCATCTATCAAACTATTCTAATAGTATTTAAGATCAGCTATAAACTATGCAGCAAAATAGTTAAGACATAGACTTTAAGATGGAATGTACTTTAGAGAATAAACTACTTAAATATAAAACTATTTGCATAAGTAATAAATTAGTGATCTATTTTTAATATTCCCACAGTGTAAGACATTGAACCGTTCACTTTACAATCACCATTAAGCTGAATGACACAACGGTAGTATGATCAGATTTACTCGCTTTTACTATTTAAACGTGTTGATCTGAATTAATGATTTATTCTTTCAAGGAGCGACAACTCATGTTGTCGAAAAAGTCCGACATTCAGTTTTCCACTCACCGGATATGCCAAAAAATACACGACTGTAAGCAGTTCATTATAAATATTTAATTTATTCGAGATTATTAAGGAAAACCATGGTTATTAATATTTATTTGGATATAAAACTGTTGAAAACTTTATAGCATTGAACAACTCGTCTCTCTCATAGTTTATAACTGCTCAACATTGTACACTGAAAATCTAACATTGAACGAATCTAAACCTATTTTACACTCGTGTTTCAAGAATAACTATCTCCGATGCTATTTCATTTTTTGTAATTCTTCATCTGATATATCGTCTTGTAGCGAAAACTGACAAATCTACAAAATTCTGTTTCGTATAGAGATATTCAAAAATAGAGAATAACATCAAATAAGACTAACACATAAAGTACACGACATATTTATAGTTTAATCCGATATCGATCTATTAATTAAGAAATTAACAAAACTCCACACTACAAAACAAAAACCAATTAAGCTTAATTTAACACTATTATATTTAAAACAATTAGTCCCTTTGATAAATTCCGACAATGTAATAAGAAGACGAAGATTATCTGAACTATGTGATATAATAGCGCAATACATTTCGAACAATCTGATCACACTATTATATTTAAATAAAACTAAGACCACTTGTTGAATGGGATCGAGACAGTGGCGATAAGAATTTGATTTAATTAGTTTTGAATCGATGAGGAACAATATTGTTTGGAAATCAAAATGAAGATTCTATGGACGTTTATAATAATCTTTGAAAAAACACCGCATCCACTCAACAATTCATTACTACTACTAGTAATAAGAAGAAAATCAAAAAATGTCTTATTAACGAAACAATGAGTTTTGTTTTTTAATATATTGCAACAGATTATAGAATAAAAACATAAGTTATCAACTAGAAGAACAAAACTACTGTATTGTTTAGTGTTTGAAAGGAACATATAATTTTAGAGGTTGATTAGACCCCCAACAGTCACTTTTCAAAGTTACATTGTTTCGCTACAACCAGACTCACAGAATGATCATAAATGGATGTATGTAAAATATAGTGAATAGTGAAAACTAAATTATCACTCACCTGAATGTATACCAATCCTTAATTCTAAACGTTTTTCAGGTCTATGGGGAATTTGAAATTCAAAAATAGCTTTCAAAAATGCAATAGACATACGGGCTACTTCACGTGCATGTTTGTTACCGTTACGTTGTGGTAAGCCGGAAGCGACCATATACGCATCACCAATTGTTTCAACTTTATATGCATCAAAATTTTCAATTATTCCATCGAATAATGTATATAATCGATTTAACAATTCTACAACCTATTCAGTGAAATAATCATTTATGTATATAGAATAAATTTCTGTGTAAATAAATTTAATAATATATTACACAATGTGAATATATATACGTAAAATATCAATATTACTATTAGTAGTAACCACAATAACAGTGAATGTAAAACAAAATGTGGTCTTGACATTTGTTGTTTATCGAAAGATAACTTTCATCAACGTCTTCTATGCTTGTAAGTAGTGATTACATAGGTCTGTTTTCAGAGTCGTTTAAGTCCAATTTTACTTAGTGTATTATAGATGTATCATATTAGAAAAGGTTTATTGACGTATGGTTTGAAAAATATATTATAATGATAATCCACTAAGATAGCCAATTACACTATACTCATTGGTTGATAAATTTCAATAAGACTTCCAACGAAAGTAATTATCTACTTTCTTTTAATCGAAGACAACTGCACTCAAACTAAAAATAAATGTAAGTAACAAAATAAAAAAGGTAAGAAACTTGTTATTAAGATATTTGTAACAGACGTAAGTAAATATTTCAAGTTGTAATGGTAACACAGTGCTCTGTTAACAGGTTCATAATGTTTCCCACTTTGTATATGTTTCATAACTCTGGTAAAATAACCACACAACTGTGAGGTTTTATACTATAAGTTATTTAATACAATAAGCTAAATTATTGACTACAAATTAAATATTTCATAGAATGGATTTAACAACTCATTGTACATTGGAAATAACCGAACTGGAGAAAAGTTAGGCTATAAGCTGATGGGCTTAAGTATTTTACACTTTAGAAGCTTACTACTAAGAGGTAGTGAAAAAAGTATACTTCAAAAAATCAACCTGATTTCTATCTAGTCATCAAATAAGCATTTTTTTCTAAAAAACAACGTTGATAACGTATTTATCCTTTGTAATTAGGGACCTTTCAAATAACAAACATGAATGCAACCGAGGTGAAACTAGAAAAATGCATGATTAACAAAAAGAAAAATACAAATACCTCTAAAAAAATAAGAAATTTGTTAAAAATAAAAGAATTAGATTTTTAGCTTTTTTTGAAGAATCTATAGAGCTCGCTAAATATTGTACGCCCTAAACAATAAAGAAAATAGGCATGTGAATGAAATAGACAATTGGTAGAGATTAATGACTAGTCAAAAACCATCTACTCGTTAATTTTTTACTATACACTAATCGTTAGTGTTATTTTGAACTAACCTCGAGTTTCTTTTGTTAGAGAACCAAAATTAAGGTGAAAAAATTTCATAACAGTTTACAAAGTGGTAAACCATGTTTTAGTCATGATTTAACGGATAATTTATGATATTCTGTGTAGCACGAGATATTACTATACCATGATAATAACACTGGTGACGAAGTTTATAATACCGCTAGGTTGGATACTCGAATGGAACTCCACACACAAACTAGATCACGTTTTATAAGATACCCGACCCATGAACAAAAACAGACATACAGAATAACGTAAGACGATAATTTATTTCACATCATTACAAGCAGTCACTCTCAGTGAGTTCGAAGTAGAAATCAATAAGAGGAGAAGAAATCACATTTGGTAGTCAATATGCTGAGTCACTGTTTATTCATACGCCTCGTTAGTTTCACTTATCATTTATTTTGTTTCTTTATTTTTATGCTAATGCGAAAAGGATTCTTCATTAGTTTCTAAACCACAATTTTAGATCATATTAAAAAGGCAAGGAACTCATAAGGAAATTGGAGAGAAAAAAAATAAATGGTTAAATATTCCAAAATGTAGTGTACTGAATGAGGAAATATGTAAACATACACAGTAATTACTATTTGCTTGCTTTCTTGTTTTATTTTTAATCACATAAAACGAATTAAACAATAAGGATGATTATAAAAGTTATTTTTACAATACGAACACCAGAATTCAAGTTTTATCATTGCATTTTTATTAGCATAAGATTGCGGAAATTGTTGAGTCTCACTGAAATAATGAACCGATCAATGTTATACCACCCTGTCAGACATTAACACAGTGGTCTGGAAGTTAAGTGTTTGCGTACAAGAATGAAGGTCCTGGTTAAAATTCCCGTGTACGAGGCCATGGTGCACACTGTTGAGGTGTCCTATAACCGTCCAGTGATTCCAGGTTTTCAATGGTAGCCCAGCATTGATTGGTTCATGACTTCAGTGAAACATTACATATTTATTGACTGAATAGTATTGTCTTGACCTTTAAGTAACTTAGATGTAATCTTGAAAATTTATAGCGAATAAAACTACTGACTATTGAATCTCAGTATGGAGTAAAACCACATTTATCAACTAACCATAACACATCCAACATTTTTACGTTTATCAAGATAAGTTGACACATCAAATAAAGATGATAAGTGAGAATCAGGATGCATTAGAAGGCTATTTCATTAGAGTTTCGGAATTTGTTACTAGTTCACAAACATGGTTCTACACCAGGGATTTAGCTCATAGGAAGTAAAGATCTCTTGAATAACACGATGTCACCCAAAAAATGCCAAGTTGAAATAGATTTATCTAAATGTTTTTACGACGTCAGTTAGTTAGTGATATATAACGTGATAATAATCTAATGAATATATATATATATATATTTCTCTCGTGATAATTAATAGAACTCCTAATCGATAGAATTCGGTCAATACTAAGGAGAACTTATCATACATGACATTGGCCACTGCTCAACGATCAGTCAATTTTACGTACATCTCAGACCTACAGGAGGTTATTCGTGGCCCATAAAGCTCAATGGTAACGTCTCCGACTGCGAAGCACGAAACTTAAGCCCAGGGTTTTCCATAGACTCAGTCCGACGACCACTTAACAAAACCACTCGTGTTTTCAAATAATTCGAACCCTACTTTCCCTTTCTTATAATTTGCACAGAGAATATGGAGAATATTCAGTAGTAAAGAAGACAAAAAAGTTAGTTTATCACAAATATTCCAACAGTTCTATGTTTAGTCTTATTATTATTATTACTATTATTTTCACAGTTAGATGTCTTGGAACCTAACGTTTATCTGGAAACTAAGATTATCTACCTACAATTGTAGAACACTTTTGGTAAACAGAATAAGAACATGAAAGCACAAAGCAACTGATGGTATATGACTAAATACTAACCAGATTAATTTATAATGATGTACATACATACACACATACATATATAAGTATTTCAGAATCATTTACATTACGGTAATTCCTAGTCTGTGTGAAGAGGAGAGTGAATTATTGATCCATTGAAAAAGAATTATCATAAATTAAACACACATAATATCTAGATTTGAAACTTTTGAACAAAAACACAACAACAACACATAAAATAAGTGAATATTCTACAAACCTGCATTGGTGTAGATTCCGCTGAAAGTGAAGTAAATCCAACAATATCACTAAAATAGATGGTGACCATTTCAAAGCTTTCTGCAGTTACGGGTTGATTACGGAATAATTGTTTGGCCACAGATCTGAAATCAAGAAAATTATTGGAGAAAAGAAAATACATGAACAACAGGGTTTCTAGAACTGATTTTATTTGTGTAAAAAATTCCGGCAGGACTATAAATTATAGACGAACCAATCAGATTTAAGATGGAAACTCTTAGGTTTCGGATGGAAATCCATTCATCCATATGGCTAAGTAGCATTTTGGGATAATAGCTGGTGTCAATTCATGATGAAAACCTTAACTCACGTTTCTAACCCTAACTTCGAACTCTAAATCCCTCTATTGACCTTAATTGGCAGCTGGGTTTTCTCAAGGTTACTTTAGTACCCTCAATGGTTGTTCATAAACTATAGTTTCAACGAAATTCTTAGTAATATGTTACGAATACTCAGGTTATGAATGGTTGTTATCGATTGAATGTTATACAACTAAGGAAAACAGAATAAAACGTTTCGGGCTACATTTTACTTAGAAATTCATGTATAATCATTTAAAACGGTATATATAAGCATAGGCATATTAATGAGTACTATCGCGAACTGAATGAGTTTAGATATGTTCACCACTGGACCCCAGATCAGTGGCCTTAGCGTTCAGAGCTCGCCGACAGACTCGAAAGTCTTACGTTCGATCCCAGATAGTAGTGGATGTGCACTGCTGAGGCATCTAATACTAAGATGAAACAACTGTCCAGTGTATTTCGATTTTTAATGGTTGTTGAAATAAGATCAATACGAGATATAAACCACTGAAAAAAGATATCGTTTCATCATCATCATCATGAATAACAACGCTTACCTTGGTAACATAGAATATAATAAATCTTCTGTTTTCTTTTTCTCTTCTAAATACTGAGCTGTACGTTGTTCAACTAATTCTTCTAAATTATTCGCATATTGTTCCATACGAGAGAGTAAATTGTCCAAAACATTATTACTATCTCCTGCTCTATAAATAATTTGCAAAGATTGTATTTATGTGTGATAAATACTTTTACAATAAAAATAACTATATATCTAGACAATTGATATGAAATATTATAATTACATTCGTAACTATTTTTTGAGAAATGAAACGATGATCATTATCTAACAATTTGGAATACAGATAAGTGTTAGTAAGTGCTCGAGTAGATATTTTATCTTCAAAACAAGTAGATACAGAGTATCATATCATCGTCATCACCAATTTTTTATAATATTACTTATTCAGAAACACTGTTAAACTTAGCATAAATACGTATCAGTTTTATTGAAATCAGCAGATTAGAAGAGGAAACTACCGAGATAAAAAGCAAAGCAGATGAAATTATATTAACAATGATGGTAGAAAATTAAGTAAAGAGAATGTAGTTTTAAAAGAACTAACAAAACATATGAAGCGACATTAACATTCAAAGTCTGGAAAAAGACAAACAGAGAACGCATCTGTGCCAGTGCAATTGATCTACAGTTATATCACCGTCTAGTGTTTCCAGTGATAAATTACGATTATTAATAAACAAACTCTGAATAGGAAGGCCAAATCTTTCTATATAGCTTAGTCTAACAGTCATCATACTACAGAGGAATTTGTAGAGATTTGTGCTGTCACGAATCTGTTGGGTGGCAACTTGGCGGTTTACAAGTCAGAAATTTGGTGAGAGAGTTATAGGCCCTGGCTTCGATCCTCAGTGGGGTCGTGGATATGTAACACTGAGTCCCACACTAGGATAAAATAGTTATACAGTGCATCCTGATTATCCGACTAAGTTTAATCACGGAACCATCCTACTAATGCTATGTCCGATCGTAAGTAATTATTTTTCAATATACTCGTAAGTAAATCAGTCTAAAATGTCAGAGTTGGTGGTGCTTGGGTAAGCATAACTTAAGTTCCAATAATGTTTTGCAGCTCCATCAAGTGACTTGTCATTACCACCTGAAAACTTACACATAACATCTTCAGTATTACTCACTCGATGGTTCAACCATATACATGAGCAGTACTGTCAAGATATCTATGATCACTTGTTCGCTTATATTAATGTATATAGACAACTATGAACCTGAGTTGTACAGGGAAATCATCAAAACTCTGAACAGAAGAAGCATAGTGAAAACCAGAGAACTTCTAGAAACCTTACACTCCGGTTACTCATCAGTCAACAGATTTAGAAACTGGCACAATCCATCAACCAATGGAGAAAAGAATAATCAACTGAAAGGTCAGAAATCAAGTCAGAGAAGTATTCATTCAAAGCAAATATACAGGCCACGTCCATATAATCATAGACAAAAACCAAGCAAATTCCAACTCAACAAAATCAACTATTAATTAATTGTGGAAAAATTCTAATAGATCACTCGTTTTACATTGTGAGCTAATGATTTTGTCTAGAAAGAGAATGAGAGATTCATGACTAAATCGTCCAGCTCAGAGAATAGGATACTCCTAAAAGATAATACATATGTATAGCATTTTTCAGTGCTTATTGATTATTTTGCAATTGGTGTTCTTGTGAATAAGGAAGGACAATGGGGAATGGTCACGCAATTTCATGGATTGGTTGAGGTTAGACATTAACACCATTGGATACCGGCTCAATGATCAAGTAGGTTAAGCGTTTGCGCGCAAGACTGAAGGCCCTGGGTTTGAATTTCGCAAGCGGGATCGTGGATGCGCACTGCTGAGGAGTCTCAAAATAGGATGGAATGGCCGTCCAGTGCTTCCAGGTTTTCAATGTTAGTCTAACATTAATCGGTTCAAGATCTCAATCAATAACTTAATAATGAAGGTGACAGTTAAATTTGAAAACAGTTTATTAACATGTCATCTAGTTGATTAGTTTTAATATTGACATAAAAAGTAAACCTGCCTATCGATACATAATGTATGTTGTTAATAATAATGAGACAAAGTGATAAAGTAATTACTTTTATATTATATTTTAACAATATCATTAATTATTCATGCATAGAATTTTTTTTTTTTAATGAAAAAACAAATAAGAAACCACAATTTAATGAGGATATGTTCTTTTAAACAATCAGAAAAAAAATCTATATGGCTTAGATTATTCGTTATGGTGATAAAAGTGTTAATTTGAAAACAATAAATTTCCATTTATATGATTGTAAATGAACAAACAGTATAAGAGTAGATATTTACATTGTAACCTCTCGTTCATATTTTTTTCTTCAAAAAATAATGGTTCCCTGATAATATTGACAATTTCAGTCAAACAGTTAATGGTTAGTGCTTTTCTCATTCAGTTGTACTTTTCCTACTCAAATCAAGTCCTTTGATCTATTTTTTTTATATCTCTTATTAAATATGAAATAGATCAATAATCAAAGCTGTAATTCTTTCTGTTCGCTTTTTTCCTTCCTTTCAATCTACAACAATTCTCCAGTTAATCACATAGAAATAGGTAAATAAATTAGAGAGGGAAGAAATTGAAGACACGAAAATCAGAGAGATCACACAGTAATAAACTAAAGTTCAATACCATTTGGAAAAGCAACAGTCAATAATTTACAGGCATACACACACATGCACATCAATAATGTTAACTGATAGAAAATATCATGATAGACTAAATGATCAAGTCGTTCAATTGCAAATTGTTATAAACATTGTACATAATTATCAAAATGTATGTATATTATTTTATAATAAGTGAATGTTAGCTAAAATTTGACGTTTGTTGACAAAACAGATTTACTATCAACAACCTCTGTTAACTCAAGAATTTTAGTAGTAACTAATAGTTGTCAATGTGATTTATACTGCATTGATCAATTTACTTATTTATTTCCTCTTCCTTTGATTAGTCTCGGTAGTAAAACCAAGATTTCTATGGAAACGACAATCCTGTATGTAACAAACTGATATTATCGTATAAATATATACTTGAATCAAGAATTCATTAGGTCTACTGATTTAAGTCTTAGAAAAATATATCAGTGATTTTCACTAACACTATGATGAAATAAAATGAAAATATCTTATTGTTGAGCATTAGTAATCGTCTCAGAATATAATCTCATTTAATGATTATTGAATAACATCAATCTGTAATAAAGACTACTTTTAAACTAATCATTTTTTCACGGTTGAAACTGCTAGCCGATCTAAGCTAGACCACCATTAAAAATCTGGAAGAACTAGACGGCCGTTTCGTCCTAATATGTGACCCTTCGGCTGCGAACATTCGCGACCTCGCGAGGGGGAATTGGGCCCAGGACCTATGGTCTCACGCACGAACACTTACCATTTACACTGCTGAGCCAGTATCCAATGGTGCAAGTGTTTAAATTCAATCAATCCATGATCTTGCTCAACATTTCATCCACTGCCTGAGGTGGATATCTATTTGACACCCGAGAAAAAGTGGACTTCACTGGACACAGCTTACATCGACTCGTGATTTCAACGGCAAAAATACTACGTTCTCTACAAATTTTCACACTGACGATAACCCTTTGGTACAATGGTTCGAAGTTTAGCTGCATTTCAACTATTCTTTAAGTGGTCATAGTTTGATCATTATTCTATATCGTCTACGTTTTGACATAAGATCATAAACATGTCATCAACAGATAAGAGGAATTCACCAACGCTAACTTCTACATTAAGTCATCATGCCCATTTTGAATCAAAGCGTCATAAAAATTACAGAAGAATAAGGTGAATAGATCGCATTATAAACCTACTCACAAACTGAGATTAAATTAGAAATGAACAGACCGATTTTTATATGCTTATACTATTCAACAAAGACTTGGATTATTTATCTTCAGGTCAAATTTGTCTAAGGATCTATCCAACTTAATTAATCACCAGTCGATAAAAGTTACAGTCTAGTGGGATACCTAAGGTAGCGATTCTGAAACTCTACTCCCGTATGTGCTAAGCGGTTAGAAGTGGTTAATGATTCCAAATGGTTACATGTATGTTAAAGACACTAATGTTCGGTCATAGGGATCGATCGATTGTTGATATTGTCTTGAAACACCAGTTCGGACGATCTAAATACGTGTTGTACATATTATTTGTCAAAAGTATAGAGAGAGTCAGTTTATATATGACATGGTGTCATGAAAATAAACCATATTTACGTTGGTACTTGTTCGTAAAAATGTATCAAAAATATTCGTGTTACTAACCAAATATTTGTAATCCCAGGTAAGTTATACATAGTCATTTTCTCTTAGAATGGATTTCTTGCAAAACAAAGTATTGATATTTCCATTACGTTATTAGAGAATTCTCTTAGTTTATCAATGATTTATTTTATCGTTCGATTTACATTCATAATTATTATTTGATTCATGTGTTCGGTTCCACAAACAATCTTTTGTTATTGAAATTTGGAAGTGTTATTTCATCGACAATAATAATAATAATAATAATAAATAATAATAATAATAATAATAGATCATTAGCTATGTATTTTCAGTATAACATATAGGGGAGAACATAAAATGATTAAACATTCATATATTTAACTACACACATATACATTCACACACCAAAGAAACTTTAATTTAAACTTCCCATAGTCTATCAAACACAAACATACACATTAATAACAATCTGAAGTGGGATTTTACAACAAATCAATAAGGATTTATTTATATTGTTACTTTTATTGTTGATATAAAATGAAGAAATCACTTTTTTCATTCTTTTAATCCGTTCAAAGTGGTGTTCAATAGAATGCAGAGACGATGGCAGCGAAATCCGACTGAAAGCCTTTACGTGGGGCGCTGCTGATTACTAAGGGAAACCTTGGTGGGTAATTTGGGCGGTCCGCATAGATCGGCCTTCTCCATCTTTTTGATGTAAACTGGATCAAACGGATTCCAACTCAGTGCCCACTAAATCTTGCTGGATGCCCGCTATGCATGCTTATGTACATGAACAACAAAAGTCTTGGCTTATGTAGTTCGTGTATATAGGTATATGCAAAAGATACGCGTATGGATTAGCACAAGGAACGTAAGATATGAAAATGTCTACCTTATGTCTAATGGAATCAACGGCTTGATCCTTCAGGTAGAATATGTAATCAAAAGATATGGTAGCAAATACTAAGGAGAAGTGATCACCAATTCTCCCTGAAAGAGTGTTTATGCTTATGTATGTCCCATGGAGTGCATGGACGAAAGTGTACCAGTGGTATGCATGCGATACGTAAGAGACAGTCAGTTGCAGCAAACACGTTCGAAGAGAGCGATGACTATCTACTGTCCCAGGTGGGTAGATATGCCAATATGTATGATATGGGATGTATGAATGAAAACATGTATGTTACCGGTATGCATGTAGACTATATTTGCTCTCTGGTGCGACGCCCGCGCACCAAAATCCGAGGAGTCCCAACGATTAACGCAAGCAGTATCATCCATACGGTGCGTTTGTGAGCTCTGAAAACACGAAATCCAACTCTAGAAAAGCTACTCCGGCTTCACCAGATCAAGCATCACCAACCTTATATGGCTGGAACACCGTACAGAGACAATGAAGCGATAGGTATGAGCATAATCATAATAATAACCGTTTCTCTTCCCTCCCCTCCTCGTCTCACTTTGAAAGAGAACAACACTAAACACCTTTTAGCAGAGAAGTCAACGGTAGACAAGAAAGCAGCACAAACAACACATTGTAAAGCATGAGAAACTGATAGATAGATACACTGATTTTTAAACGCAATGTATATGCTTATCATTATCATGTTAGTTTAGAAATGCATAGTTTCTTGTATATGGTATTATTAAAACGTTTTAATCTCTTTCATTATATTTATTAAATGCTTTAGAAAAGAAAAAGTTAACAAAAGCCAAACAGTTATGTTCTGTCCATCAACCAATACAATAAAATTTCATAAACTGTTTTATATTAGGAGGTTGAAAGCTAATAAAAAATATATTTCAAATATTTTCAATGAGTGGTGTATGATTTCTATACAGCTTCGACAATAAAGAAAATCTGTACAACCAAAATATCCTAGTTTCGAACCTAGAAAGTTGTGATTTCGATTAGGGATTGAAATTTCTAAAAAAAACGTGGTATGCAAATAACACTTGTATATGTGAGCATAATTAAATGAGGATAAGGTGTATTCTATTTTATCTATCGTGATCAGGATGTACTTCAAACAGATAAACCCAAATACTGAGGGTCGAGTATATTCAAACTGTACAAAATAGACGATTAGTAGAGATAAGCAGTCAGAAATTATGCAATTCATTACTGTTAATTCACTAGGTCGAGATAATAAAGGGATTGATATAAACAACAAAACAGCCGGCATAAATACATTTTTGTATTAGTTGTTTAAATTTTCCTACTGACTCAGGCAAATCGAGCTGGTGAGCCCAAAATGGAACGAAACGGGGGTCGTGAATTCTACCGCTAACCACCATTCATCTCTGTTTATAAAGATGGCATAAATGTTTATCAATAAAAATTACCACTTTCACATTAACACAAAGAGAAGGAACCCGGTTGGTTACTTTGTTCATTGATGAAATAAACGAACATTTGGTGTTTAGAAAACTTCAGTCCAACTAGTGTCTAATGTTACGTTAATAAGATTAAATCGTCTACAACTATGGATACCAAATAATGATGCATAAATTGTGGTTTTTCAGGTCAACAACTTGCTAAATTATGAAAAGCTTATGGTTTTATGATTTCCAAAAATGATCAAATTGACATTGGACGACTGAAGTGTATTACCTTTCACATCATTTTCCTAAACTGGTAAAGGTTTTCTCTAACCTCAATTTATCTCATTTCATTGAAGATCGTGATAATAACAATAAAACTGAACCATCAGACTCCAGTATACGTACTGGACTGTAGATTGCACTGTTATAAATAAAGATTACTGATACTATCCAACTACTCAAACCGGAATAAATGAAGAAGGGTTACAAAGTCTTCGATTTAGTAGTTGAATGTTAAGTGTTTTCATTACAAACTCACCGATTATTGTAGTAATTATTGTTCCTCAGCAAAATTAAACTAATTTTGTAATATTCACTATAATATTGCCTTAAATTTCATTAAACCTTTCAATTATATAACAAACCTCTAGATAAGTAATTAAGCAAAGAGATTAGATGCGAAAAAATTGGAAATACATAGTATCATATGACCAAAATACAAGTAATTGCATATACAAATTATTTTCTGAAAAATAAATTAATAATATTAAAAAAACATAATTATATGAACGGAGAATATTCTTTTCAATAATTTCTCATCAGAATCTATGTAATTGTACAATCTGATGAGAAATTATTGAAAAGAATATTCTCCGTTCATATAATTGTGTTTTAATATAATGAAAATTTTTCAGTAATAATATTTACTTGTTTAATTTTCGCATAGATAATTTAATTGACTGAAAATCTGGTCGTACACTTGGATCATCATCCCATGCTTGACAGATTAACTGAACTAAATCTTCAGAGCAACCTTCCAATGAATCTAATGTCGGTCGAAATGGTGGTTTCCTGTGTGCTTTCACTTCCTTTACAATAAACTAAGTCGAAAATGACAATAATGAAAGTGACAAGATATATAAATTGGCATTAATATAGGAGATTTGTGAAGAGTGAGGAAGTTGTTTAAATTACAAACGGATTTTAGCTAGACTACCACTAAAAACTTGGAACTCCTAGTATGGAGATCCTCAGAAGCGTGTATTTATGAATTGAACCCGAGATCAATGGGTTCATTGGTCTAGAGATTAGGGGTTCGTGTGCTACACTGAAGGTCCTGAGTTAGGAGTCGTGGAAGCGCAATTCTGAGGAGTCCTATACCAAGAAGAAACGGAAATCGAGTTCCTCCAGGTTTCCAATGGTGGTTTAGCTAAGATCAGTTAGTGACTTAAACTGTGAAAAAATCGGTTGATAGATATAGTTCTATAAGGCTAAATAAGTCATAAACAAACGGTCATATTTATGCCTTATTACAAAATCAAAACTGTATTCTTCTGTTTTTCCCACACGGATTAAAATCAGCTGGAAAGTTGAATAACTTACGTGGTAACTATTTCATTTATGCACTATAAATGTTCACCTTTATATTCATGTTATGTGGTTAAAGGCCAATGACAAAAATCCGTTGAACTAAAGTTTGATTATAGTCGACACTTATCAGCAAGAAGTATCTACAATCCTGAACGAGCTGATGATCCCTGTGAGAATCAGATCTGTACTAGCCAGTGTCATGATTAGATACGTTTTCGATACTATTCGTTCAAAATAATGGATATTTGACGCAAATTTACCTCAATCGAGATTGAAAATTAGGGGGTACTAAACAGTTATTTCATCCCCAATAGTTAGTACCTACGACTTATCCAGATGTCAAGCTCAGAAACTTCTAGTTTTATTGTGAATGCTCAACCATTAAAACTATTGAACCGGCTTCCGAAGGTAAAATTTCAACTCCGAACAATTCGCAAAATAACTCAACAATAATCCAGTGTCACTGGTGAAAACTGTTTTACTATCGACATATCAGACCAGTATCCAGAAAACCCCTTTAACTAAACTATAAATATTTAAATTATTCAAAAGAGAAAATGTTAGTACAAACTACTGTGCAATCGAAACACTTATAGAAACATATTACTCATTATTCAATATCTCTTCTGTTTAATGTGATAAATTTTTTAAAGTTTACTGATATAACCTGTGCAGGATCAATGGGAAACTACACTTTGTTACAATTAAAATATTTTCCGTAGCATAAATCAATGTCGATGTATTGATAAGTTCTAATTATAAAAGATTAAGATAAAAAATGTATTATTTTCAAGGGACAGTGATATGTATTTTCTCCACCTTTGGCTAGTAGACGGACATCTTACCCACACCAAAAATGACGAAAGTTAACAAAAACCTACTGAATTTTCTAAGTTCACACCGAGGTTTCGTTAGATACCAACCCATCAAGTCTAATGAGACCCCTAAGTAAAATAGTTAATTATACTTCAAATGTCCCGAGAAAAATAGATACAATTGTATATTGAACTATTTTGAAGGGAACTATGGAGACACTAATCTTGTATGTATATGTGTATACACTTACATCTGGTTCACAATTTTTAAAATTCTGTATATAAAATACACCTTTGCGATATACAATTTCCTGACAGACAATTGCAAAGCTATAAACATCGCCTTTTATTGATTCGCGTGGATAAATAGTTGTATCACCGTCAGGTAATAATTCTGGTGCTGTCCATAATAAATCTATACAAAGTTAATGTAAAAATAAGAACAAAATAACATTATTATTGTAAATAAAAAAACACAATTTAAGTAGAAATAAATGACTAGATTTGTAGCTAGTATGCGTTGTAGATCGATATTAGTTAAAGCACCAGTAAAAAACAGAGTAATGATCAGCTATTGACTGGAACTGTAAATAAGAAATATTGGATTCCAACTCCGAGCTAGGTGCTCTACCTAAGATGCGAAGGTCTGGGCGTTCAACTCATAGAGGGGTCACATATGCATACTACTAGGGAATCCATAAGAAAACATACTATTTGCAATTTTTTGTAAATTACAACAATAGTACTAATAGTCAGTGCTGAGAAAAATAATAACACAAACTCAATAATTCAGTGAGAATCCACTGAAAAGTCTATTCTCTTTATTCCAATGTCTTTGTGTTAAATCACAACAGGGGAATATGTGCAAAGACACAGTCAAAGAATAAAAAAAGAAATAACTGAAAAACATATTTTTAAAGTAAATTATGCCAGGAAACAAAAAAATACTAAAACTCCTGCAAAGTACAATAATAGGCTTACTTCGATGAAATATAAAACTGCCAACTTCTGATTCTAATGGCGGTGGACCACGTATATGTGGTAGACCGAAATCAGTGATTTTTAATACAAAACGTGAATCCACCAAACAATTGGAACTTTTCAAATTACCATGTGGACCAAATATTTGATGTAAGTACATAACACCCTTGAATGTGAGGATCAAAAAATAGATAAAGAGAAAATTGTACATTTTACATATGTATATTAAATATTTATTAACACAAATGAATATTGGATTATACTACGATGAACTGGCAAGAAAACATTTACTATACAGACTACTGACTGTAATCCAATTAAGCAATTACCTGTTTTTTGGTGAAGAAGGCTGTTAGATAGACTGATTAAAACTGAGATTCAAGTTTATACTACAATGTTACAACTACTATTGCTATCACTCTGGTGTGTAAACGATGTTCTATTGATATACTGAAACCGACTAAATTGAATTTGCTCACATAATCTATGGTCGATGTGAATCCAAATAACAAACACAAAACGAAGCCTACTACGTATTAGCTATCATTTTATAGTGTCATAATTAAAACATCGTCTATCTCAGAACTAATCATTTTAAGTCAGATGAGCCAAACCAGAGGTAAAGAGTAAGTAGTACGACACTAGTTAATACTGCAAAGTTGAATAATTTAAAACCATTTAGCAACGATTCATTCATTCTGTACAAGGGACAGTTTGAAAGTAGTCTTCTGCTAGGTTAAATTTAATGAATTCTTTAGAGAAAATTTAACCTAGTAACTTATATTACTCCGATTAGTTGAATTTAAGTAGTATATCCATTTGGCTTGAAATAATTAACCGGTCAGGAACTGTTACTTCGTCAATATTATTTTTATTGGAACGAAAAAGAGGGAAACATCAATATGTACTAATTTATTTAATTACACACTTTAATTTTAACTTCATTTTTAGCGATGAAGAAAAAATGTGATCAGAAATATTGATGAGAGGCAAAAAACTAAACATGATTAAAGTCCTAGTTTGACCAGGAAAAAGTTTGGCTAAACCAACTTTCCCCTTTTTTATTTAACAAAACTAGACAGTATGTAAACAAATTAAAATTAAAATAGAATAAAAGAAAAGAGAGCAATGCCTCAAATCATAACAAACAATTAGTCTTCAATGCATATATACATACGTGGAGAGAAAGGGAAAAGGAGACTAACAAATAAATTAAATTCACTACTATTTATATGAAACCGTTTTAATTAAACGCCAAAATTCTACTTTTATAAGTTTGTTGTGTCTTTTTTCACCCCACTTTTTATTTGCGAAAAAAGTTTACAACATAAGCAGAATTATTTGATGAATAGAAATGCAATTCATGAAAGACCTGTACTATTCTGAAATAGTACAAGAATGAATCGTTTATATTTAGTAAGTTTTAAATTGTAAGCTTGATTAAGATGTAATTTAATAACTAGGTATAAGGAATCTAGTATTCGATAAAGAGTTACCATTTTTGCATGTATCCTTTAAAGTCGATCACATGATAATACATAAACAGCTGGTTAAAATGGAGTTAGAATTTGCAAACAAATGGTTGAAAACGGAATTTTTTTAACCGGTGAGTCAATGCATCCCATACAACAGATCATTAATTTATACATAACGTAGGATCTGGTACATACGTACATCGGTTCAAGTTAATTCACCATAGCAATAGCATAGTGAAATGCCCGAGTGGTAACACTATTATTGATTGTAGAAAAGACTGGGTATAGATTATATGATATAAGGTGATAACTGAAGTTTAAAAAGTCGAATTCATTATAAAAATTCGAGCAAATGAATTACGCATAAATCTATGAGAATTATAGTAAGATTTGATGGGATAATTGTATCTTAAATTTCTGTAATAACATAATTCATTATAGAAGATTATTTATGCTAAAAATTTTGTCACTTAGTTTATCGTCTTATTCCAGCTAATTTACATTTTCTGTATTACCTTACTATAGGAAAAAGCCAAGAGAAAAGATTCAATACCTGAGAAAATGAATTGCCAATAAAATTCATTCGATAGTTGTGTTTCTTTTCTAGTTGAAATAATAAAACACACTTGGAATGGTAACTAACAAATTAAAACTAGTCATAAAATAGATTGTTTTTCATATGAAACTATCAAATCAGTTGATAATTTCATACTGATGAAAATAATTGACTTTCATCTGTAAAGCAATACATTCAATCATTCATTTGTCGGTCAATAGTAGATATGAATTGTTCAATTTGTCAATAGTTCTCATACTGTTTGACTAGTTCTGTTTAAAAATCCCTGAGTGAAATACATATAACTTTCTATTTAAATTACTGTAATCTACTGTGTTACAATTGACACTGATAGATATGAACAACTATCAACTATTCGTGTTATTCTATTTGTTTACTAATTATTTATAACAATTGTATGATACTTACTCGACAAATATCTTGCATCAAAGAAAATTTAAACATCCAATCTAATTTGATTTGTTCATTTTCCAAAACATCTTGCAAACTTCCTTTTGGACAGTATTCATAAACAATACACTGATGTGGCACTTCTAAACATACACCAATTAATCGACAAATATGATCACAATTCAAATCTTTAACCTGAATTTATATGAGAAGTTCAAAGAAAACCAAGTATAACTAAGTAGTTAACTAATTATGAAGTTGAAATGATTCAATAAAATTTCGAATCTGAGTAGAAAACAAACCAAATGAACATGACAACAACGGTCAAACAATTACAGACAACAATTAATCGAATTTTAGGTTAACAGAACAAACTACTAGTCAGTTTTGGAGAAATTCCATTAGAGGTTAGTAATTTTCCCCTCTCCAAGATGAAATAGAACAATGTGTTAGGTGGTCGATAGGAATCCCTTGTCTAACCTAGCACCTCTAACCACATAACATCTCACTCAGAATAGAGCCCACTGGACAATTTGATAAATAGAATTCGGTTAGTACTGAACGACAAGTCAAATATGACATTGATTATTGCTACTAAATAATCCATCAACTGCATAGAATAAAGTGAATGTAAAAACAGAAGCGAATTCTTTGCATAGAAGTAGATGGCTTCCAACTAACCATATAGAATGACATTATATGTTATACAGCTTTGATATATAGTGTTTTATCATAAATTTATTGAACAAACTGATATTATCTAGTTGTGTGAATCTGATGTAAAATCTTGTTTTTATTTCTATTATACCATTTTTTGTTTACTTTTTATATGAAAGAAATATCGTCGCTCAATCAATAAAAATAATAATTTAAGTGGACCATTAAGTTTCTTTCTCTAAACCAACATGATATGAAATTAAACTTAAGTTATTAGATGCAATCCATGTAACGATTGAATGACATCGTCATCATTAGATAAGCGAAAAATATCTCAGGCAATATCTGGGATAAATCAAGATAGGTTATTGTAAACAATTTCATAAACACAGTCACATTATTGACTTAGTGTCTCTTTAGATTAACAATGATAGTGTGGACAGATGGTTCAGATTCTAGTCTAACGATATTGACAATACTTTATACAATGATTGATTGACTCACAATATAGTTACAAATTTCTTTTTAAACCAATTAATTACATTTTCATTGAACTATATAAACAGCATTTTATACATTTAATACTGGTTCGATCATTAGACATGAGGTATATAGTAAATTATCTCTTAATTGTCGATAGATGTGAACGAAAATCCAATTACTGAATAGGCTTTATAAGAAAAAAGAGCCAAAAGTTTTTAAAAGAATTTCATTTTATTCAATTCGTTATTTACAAGATGAGAATTAACTTTGGAAAAGAAGAAGTAACACATTTCAAAGCGACTTATCACATTCTACACTTCAAGTAACACTTTTAATAATGCACAGAGCTCTATCAAGTTGCACAAAGCGAGTGTAGTTGTAGAATTGGACTGAATTACCTTTTAAAAAAATCACCAGTGAACATAATAATAATACGACTATTAAGAACTTACTTTTTTAACTTCAATCGACAGTGCTTTGGATGGTTCGATTCGTGTTTGTCTACGTAGAGGTTTCAGAGCAACAATACTTTTCATGTAGAATGCTGTACGTGCAAACATCTGCGAATTTGCTAATTTATCTAATTGTATGCCAGAGATTGTATCTAATGAGCCTAAACTTGATTGAGAATCTTGTGAATGCTATAATAATGATAATAATAATAATATTCGGGATAAGAATACAAATAAATTAATGAATAAAAAAACCAATTCATAAATCTTATTTAGATAGTGAAAAGGATGAATAGAGTAAAGTATTTCTTTTCAGTTAATTTATCATAATGGCTATCCACTACAGTACAAAAGATTACCGATAATAAAACTATACTAATCAAGTGGTAATGTTGAAGGTGATTAAGTGTTCCATCTTAGCTCACTTGGCTGATAAAAGAAATCAGATTGACTTGCATAAAGCCGTTAATGTTATTCATCATATTGCTATACGTTTACCACAAGGTTTATGGATTCATTTTTTTATTCTCCTGAAGCTATCGAAATCCATATTCAGAAACCAAATTTTTGTAACCCAGGAGAAGTTAATTTAATTCCGTTGTCTAACCAGTGATATCAGCAACATAATAATGGGTTATAACAGAACTTTGATTCACCTTATTTTCTCCAAGTTTTCCTCAATTTCTTTCCTTTAATTTTGTGTTTTTCCAGAATTTTAACATTTATTTCTTCATTACTATGTAACTATCTAACATCATTTTACCAAAATATTTAGTTAACTCTCTTACTACATATTATGCAATTTATCAACTTTTGAACTGTATATTTTCCATTTTTATAAATAATTACTCTAATTATTATAATTACTTTATCATTCCTCTTTCAATTAATTAGCTAATTATTTTATGTAATCCTCATAGTCATTTGTGAATTTCTGGAGGTCAGCGCGCCGCAGACTCGACGTTCTGACGGAGAGAGTAGCACAGACTGCAGAGACGAAGAATGTGGAACGGCGAGCATGAACCACAGCAAGAACGACTGCTTTAAAGGGGGGGAAAGTGTGGTATGTGCTACTTATATTGACATAAGTAGTATATGATGTTAGTCATGGACAGAAGGTATGGCAGCAGAGAGACAAGAGGATCGAACAGTAAAGAATGGAAACAGGATGCAATTTGTATGAATATGCAAGAACAATGTAGTCTGAGTCATTTTGAGACAATTGGTGGACATTTTGCAAATTAAGCATTTACTTTATGATTGTTAGATTTCATTAAAAAGTCCTGTAATTTTGTTTTAAATACATTCGATTGTCCCCACTGTTGTTCTTGTTCACTACACTACCACTACTACTACTAATCGATTTATGTTATTTTACTATAGTAAATTATGTATATTTATATTAGTGTGAAGTCATGATGGAGTTTTATTCTCTGAACTAAATGATTTGGTCGTGAAGTTTTCATTGTTAGATAAAAGTTTGTACTGATGATGTCGTTCAGAATAATGATGAAAGCTCCACGAGCAAACTATTCAGCTCAGAGAACAAAAGACCACCAAAATCATCCAACTGAACTAAAAATTTGTTCTGTTCATTTTTGAATTCATAATTTTCAAACACTGCTTACACTTCATATAAAGGTTTCTGTAAACCAATAAAATTAGAGACAAACTATTTAAAAATGAAAAGTCAATCAATAAGATTCTATAACTGAATCCTTTTATTTCTCATTATATATTAATGTGTAACTATGTTGATATTTCTTATGATTTAATTAGTATTGATAACTTTCAAATTGTAGTTTCTTAATGTCAAAGTATGTTTCAAAGTAGGTGACTTTTTAAATTGTATAAAACTTGAATGATAATAAAGTGATAGTAATCTTTTCTTTCTTTTTGTTGAACAGTAAATCTTCAAGTGTATAACAACAGAGAAGAATAACGTTATGATTATGAATGAAATGAAAGTTTGCATTTTAATTTATTGCATTTATATATGTGATTTTATTATTGAAACTTATGAAGAGATTTACATGGTGCATTATTGAATTTTACAGTAAATAGTAAGTTCTGATTGACATTCATCTTATTTGTTTAAAATTAATGAATCAATTTGTTATGATAAAACAATATTCAAAGTAAAATTACTTATATTCATGATTAAACTAATAAAGAATGTATAAATTAAAGGTGAATATTTAAAGTATTAAAGTAAACCGTAACTAAAAAGGTTAGATAATTCAATGCACCAATACATGATATATTTTTTTAAAAAAAAGTGAACTTGTGTATTAGTTGTAACCATAACTACACTACTATTAATTATAATGATCCATAGATAGTATATACTTTTAATTAAATTAACGGTGGACTCCAGTTATCAACAGATGAATATGGTTCACTTTAGTTCAATATTTGTGGTGGGCTATGAACGGTACACATATTCTTTATTACCTCCATATAACCAAGAACAGTACATTTGCTATCCAATAGCTAATGATCATAAGTTGAGCTGTCCAAATAGAAAATTGTAACCCAACGGTTGAAAACTACCTGATTAAAGCTTTACACAATGACTAACCATTGTATATAACGACTTCTATCGTATTGCACACTATCTTATGTGCTATGTAATCTGTGAGTGGAAATAAATCTACATTATTCATATCATGTGTTATTCATAATTAAGTAACTGTCTCAATGATACCAAAACATCATATTACCACGGAGTAAATAAATGATTAATTTAGTTACTTATTTTATGAAATCGGATAGACAAACTGGACAAAGGCTATATAAATGTAGAACTGACTGATACAAGTCAACATTAATTCTATGAATTAATGATACGTGTTAAAATATTCATATAAAATATTTTAAAATTTCGAACATGTAACTCCCATATGTATCCATATGATCCCTCAATAAAAAAATGCTCTCATCTTCTAACTGAGACCCTATAGTTTCTCTGTGAAAAACTTAGGACAGTTAAATTTGATGATTCACCGAATAAAAGATGCTTCATACAGCTCAATAGAAGAAGCTTAGAGATAAGTCCGAGTCATAAGGTGAACACCAACAGACTATGTATAAAATGTAAATGAAATGATCAAATTAATAAGTTTTACATAAAATAAAACAAGTAGTTTATACTTTACAAATCAAAATATTTTATAGTTTAATTTTCATTCATAAAATATTATTGAATATATTACAGAATATACAAATATGTACATATGTACACAATTAAAAGTATTTTATTTGTCTAATCCCTTTCTCACTCAAGTGAATGTCGGTTAATAAAAACATAGTATCCGCTTTTCTTACGTAATTCTCTTCACCAATCATGATAACTACTTTCAACTCTAATAATCAACAAATAAATGGGAATTAATTTCTTCAGTACTTTATTACACACATTCAAAGTGTGGCAATGAAGTAAGACAGGGAAAAAACTCCATACGAGAGTTGTTTTTGCTATACAGGAAAAAAGAATACATACATATATACTTCTCCTTTCTTCGTTTTATTTAATGTTACTCAGATTCTCTAATGTTTTCTCTTCCCCCCTCTTTCTCACGTCTGTATATTATTATATACTTTGTCCAAATTGTCATTTCATCATCATTATCTGTAATAAATGTACTGGATAACTTAGTAAAACAGTAAAAATGATCCATGCAGAATAAGAAGAAAAGTAGATAGACAAAGTTGCTGCATATCAATACGTAAAATACAATAATTTGTATTTATATGTATATATATTGTATGTATTCTGTTTTTTAACACCGACAAATTAATGTACAGTACGGGGAATGATATCAATAAATGATAGTAAAGAGTTATTAAATTAGTGAATAGTTCTATGTTTTAGGTATGTATAATAAATTTTTAGTCACAGACTTCACTAGCGCAGTGAGAAAATAAAAAAATATATACCTAGAAAACAGCTTGGATGAAACAACTACAAAGAGAAAAGAGAAACAACTACGAGGCTAAAAACCCTAGTTATGCTTGAGAGGAAGAACAAAATACACATTAATAGTCCAAATCATTCAGGTACGGCTTCATTGTATTCAACTATTTTTATTACATTAGTAACATCGATTTCGGCGATGAACTCAACAAGAAACAAAGAGTTAGCGTTCGAACTAAGTGCCTCATGATGCTGCAGAGGAGATCAAAAATTTATCATTGATAAAAAACACTTGGAAAGAACATAAGTTTTTTTAAAGTAATTATATGCTATAACTGACGGGTTTTAATCGTTACAAACAGCACCAAGAGTAAGACACTATAAACATTCATTTTTTAAAAGTGCTGAAAAAATCCTAGAAGACAAAATTGTTAAATATGATTAAGAGTGAACATTTTTGAAGTTAGAATGATAGAGCTTTTAAGACTCCACTGTGATAAAAGCAAGCAAAAAAGGAAACAACTTCACTTTTATCTCATAGGGGGAGGCGAGAGGAAGTCAATGGTATTTAGCATATTTGTATTTAGAAGTGGAATAAAGATGGAAGGGGATAAGCATATCCGCATCGTCGAGAATAAGTAAACTGAACACTTCTATTTTTAAAACAAGAAACTTAGCCTTCTCTTATAAACACATATAAACTTGTCCTTTATAGAAACAAACAATAAATAATTGAAAATGACAGAATATGGATTCCACTGCTAGCCATATTTCATTTATTTATAGTGATATAATGGCTATATCGAGGCGATTTGAACTGGATGCAAGCACATATATAAACTAAGACTGACCGAAATTCAATTAGATATATCAACAAATAGATAAACAAACACAATTACAAACAAAATCAAAATTTATACCCATTGCGTAAGTGAGTAGCTATCTGGACATAGTAGCTAGGCCAAATATCAACTGAGTGTCATATGTTGAATTTCTTATTTTGACTTAAAAGTTATTATCAAGAACACAATTATTTGGCTACAAAAAATAATGATCTGCTATGATTCAAGAATTCTTATAACAATCATAATATACTGTTTTTCACAGTGACTTGAATATACTTATATGTTATTATTAATTACATAAACAACGCCAGATGAATAAGTATAGACATGAACAATCATAGAATAAATTTTCTAACTATTAAAACTTTATCCCTTTCCAAATACTAAAACATTTGATGCACCGAATTAATTGAATTCGATCAGAATAATGGTAGAGTCATGCAACTGACCAATTGTTCACTAATCAGGAGTAATACATTGTTGTGAAATATTTTTCGTCAGCGCAAAGAAACATTTTAGTGTGTTGCCTAAAAATATTAATAATCGTTGTTGTCGTACATATTCTAACAAGAAAGCTTTTTGATAGACATTATTTATTTAGTTAGTTGGTGATAAAATTGAACGTGCTAGATGGTTAGGAATATGTTTTTTAAATAAAAAAATCTGAAATTGTTTACAAATAAAGAGGATTACCACTTAAAATAATGGTCACTGATCTTTTGCTCAGACTAACGAAATTGCATTTTTATCACATTGGCAAAAAATGCTTTTCATTGTAGTCATGAAACGACATAAGTTAAATAACTATTGAACAGCCGTTTCGTCCTAGCACGGGAACTCCCCAGCTGCACGCACCCACCTCTCTAGACCACTAAGCCAGCATCCAACGGTGTTAATGTCTAACTTCAATCAATACACCACGTTGCGCGAACGTCTTCTATTGTCTTGGGTGGGTAAATGCCTTAGGACTGACACGGATTAGCTCAAATGGTCACGGCCTCTCACTAGAAATGCCGAAATTTTCTCTTAAGCTAGTCCCTAGTGAGAATTGATAATTGTTAGTAAAGTGTTGTGGAGACTTTCGAGTTAAAAAATGCATTTAATTGTAGAAGAATAAACAAACACAATAGAATATTGTGCATATAAGTATATTATTAAAATGTTTACGCACTGACATGTTTTTCACAAATCCCCATACTGAAAAAAGGCTTCAATAAAACAAATCACAGAGTGTAATTAAACTTAATGGATCAATGAGTTTGTACGTACTTATCAAGTAGGCTGTTAGCCATAACCTATTATATTATGCCAAACGATGTTACTTCCTGATTTAAAATTTATAAAGAGAAATAATCTATAACATATTAGATAGTAGTAAAATATTTTTAAAAGAAGCATGAGTTCAAAGGATCTACACCATTTATTTAAATCAAAGTAAAAACTGTTTCAACTCCACCTGGAGCTCCTCTAGAGATACTTCTGATCCCAAGCTCGAATAAAGGAAGAGGGTTGAGCATGGGGTTAGTGACCCCATCCAGTAGAAAACTAACTCGCTGGAAACCATTTAAACTCTGCCCTAGATGTTAGAAGGTCTGCATTTAGAAGAGTTATGATGTCTCATGATGAAAGCCGAGTTCCTTCGCGAGTCACGAGGCTGATGCTCCTTCTATTAACCAGAGCAACCATCTATTTAAGTACATGGAATGCTCGCACAATGTGGGAGACCGGGAGAGTATTTCAAATTGCTGCAGAAATGAAGAGATACAACCTGGAGGTGCTTGGAATCAATGAAACACACTGGACGCAGGTTGTACAAAAAGACTAGCTCCAGGAGAGCTGCTGTTACACTCCGAACACGAAGAAAATGCTCCACATACACACGGAGTTGCACTGATGCCATCCAAACAAGCACAAAAAGCACTTATAGGATGGGAATCTCACGAACCCAGGATCATTAAAGCCTTCTTCAAAACAAAGAAAGAGGGCATTACAATGAACATAATCCTATGCTATGCGCCTACCAACGATTACAATGAAAACTTTGAAGATCAATTCTACGATAAGCTGCAGTCAATCGTTGAGAAAGGCAATGAGGTACAGTGGACAGTTAGGATGCAGCTGGAAGATCTAGACTTCGCAAATGATCTGGCTCTTTTATCGCATATGCAACAACAAATGCAAGAGAAGACGACCAGTGTAGCAGCAGCCTCAGCAGCAGTAGGTCTCAACATGCACAAATGGAAAAGCAAGATTCTCCGATACAACAAAACACGCGACAATCAAATCACAATTGACGGAGATGATTTGGAAGATATAAGAAGCTTTACATATCTTAGCAGCATCGTTGATGAGCACGGTGGATCTGATGCAGATGTGAAGGCGCGGATCGATAGAGCAAGAGCAGCATATCTACAATTGAAGAACATCTGGAACTCAAAGCAACTGTCAACCAACATCAAAGTCAGGATTTTCAATACAAATGTCAAGACAGTTCTACTGTATGGGGCAGAAACCTGGAGAACTACGAGAGTCATCATCCAGAAGATACAAGTGTTTATTAACAGTTGTCTACGCAAAATACTTCAGACCCGTTGGCCAGATACTATCAGCAACGACATACTATGGGAGAGAATAAATCAGATCCCAGCGGAGGAAGAAATCAGGAAGATGCGCTGGAAGTGGATAGGACACATTAAGGAGAACACCCAAGTGCATCACAAGGCAAGCCCTCACTTGGAATCCTCAAGGCCAAAAGAAAAGAGGAAGACCAAAGAACACATTACGCCGGGAGATGGAGATAGACATGAGAAAAATGAACAACAATTGGATAGAACTAGAAAGGAAGGCTCAGGATAGAGTGGGTTGGAGAATGATGGTCGGCTGCCTATGCTCTATTGGGAGTAACAACCATAACTAAGTAAGGAAGTAAAGACTGTTTCCTTTTTTGGCACTTATTCTGTTAATTGCTATCACTTCCCAACTATGTATAGTCATTATAGACAACTTTGAAGAAAATACTTCGGTCGGATTGCTACCATTTAAAGAAAAAATTATTTAAGATTCAACGTGTAGATAATTTCAGGAACCAAATAGTTTGTGCAAAGCAAACACAAGAGCCATAATAAGAGGGCAATATATAAATCGATCAAAAAACTCTTTATCATCATTACAAATTTCAATCGTACTCATCAAATTTTTCGAGATGATGACTCGGAAGAGAATGTGTGTATGACAAGTTCTGGTTATGTCACACACTGAAAAGTTATGAATGACACGACTTACAAGTTTAGTCTTACTAAATTAGGTGTCTTGTTACTAGTAAAAACACAATATTAATACAATTCATATTACATTGAACAAATTATAACAAAGTACATCCTACAAATTGCCATCTCCTTTTAATGTATTATTTCACATAACAACTAATAGAAAAGTACAACAAAGGGTTAAAAAACAATAATCTCAGTTACATGAATCAAACAGAAAAACGTGAGGAAACATAATGTAAATGTAATCTAGTGTCTGGATGTAACACATTTGATTTATTTAAAATAATTAATTACTAAAGTAGATTAATGGTAGTTAACATCACATTTTCGGTTAACATGCTATTATTGACAATAAATAATTTAAATAAATATATCAGCTAGAGAATAATAATAACAACAACAAAAACACTGAAGTATTTAACTAAATTGGAGAAAAACTACACTCATGAATGGAATAAGGTTGGTTGTCCAGCTACGAATACTAATAGTAACAGCTTTATTCATTACTACAATTTTTTTACAGTAAACCATTCTCACCATCTAGTGTCCAGTATAGTATTACAACAAACAAGTCTTTGATATGAACTAATAATCGTAATTATTTCAAAATATGTTTAAAATGTCTTCAAGAGCAAATGTATTCCACCCGTAATTAATCAATTTAATTGTCTACCAATTAGTTCAGTTATTACAACTAGACTTTCTATCCATCATCATATAAAAGGTACTTGTATTCTGATATGTTTATCTATTGTTTTGTTAAACGATAAATAGAAAAGACAATACGTCAAGAACTGTAGTATTTCTGTTGAAGTTTACCAGTGTTTCGTATTTCAATAATGTGTAACTTTTTATAGAAGTTCATGAGTACACACATTTGGCATTCATAATTAGTCAATTGAAATAAATATCGGACAGTTTAAGTGAAATATCTGCACAGTCGAAAAATACATAGTCAAAAAGTTTGAGCCTCTCACTAGCTAGGATTCATAATATAGACTTATACATTTATTGTAGTGTTCTCTTTTTTATACCAACCAAAAAAAAATATTTTAAGTATAATCTCTTACTAACTAATTTTTAATAAGGAAAATAACACTCTACCTCACCTTTTTCTTTTTGAAAAAATCGAATTCCATTAATGGATTATAATCAGACTAGATTGAGAAAAACAAACACAAAGAAGAGAGAAAAAGAAACAGAAAATAAAATGAATAATGTAATGAATGAATGAGTGAAGAATGCACAATCCTGAACATTCCTCTATATGAAGAATGATAATGAATTAAAACAAAAAAACACTAATAAATAAATAAACTAGCTCATTTCGAGCAGAAAAAAGTTAGTTTTTGTCACAAACACAACTAAATAAGTTATTCTGACTAATCAATAATGCATCAATCTTTTCATCAAATAGATGTTATAGTAGGTTTTGAAGAACTGATTACCTAGGGAATCTCCATAATAAAAAGCATAATTGCGTCACTGTTCATCAAATTACATAAATTGTAGATCCGTGGACAAAACATCTACTTTTACACCAAGGATATCAAGGACAGAACACACTTATCGGTCGCAAAAGTTATCCGGTAAATGTAGACAATATAAGAATCTATTAAATAATATGGTAACTGGTGTTTTCAAATTATCACTTTAGCTTAACAGAAACAATAAACATTAAAAATTCTCAAGTTAGACATAGAATCTCAATGAAAAGAGATTAACCGAAGGATATGTATACAAAGTCGATTGGTTGACATAATCCGACGATATATTGTTCACATCTGAGAACCAACTACTCCATGAAATATCAGATAAATAAAATGTAAGGTAGAAAAGTTTTTAAATTATAGCACTACAGAAAGCTAATTATGTAAGTATATAGCTTTAAATAAATTCAATGGTAGTTCATAAATAATCGTTCGGAAATTGTATGCCAATAGACAATTCCAAACCAATAGTAACAATACAAAAGCTACATTTATCCTACCACCACCATTAATCCTCAAGTATTTAGTTATGATTTATACTTTTCCATTATATTTCTCCTTTATCGACGTTTTTCCAATAATAAGTTTCAACAAGTTTCAAGTTTATTGTATATCAGCTGATATACATTAAATCTCAAGTATCTTGTCTACATTCTATTTTTAAACATCTCAACGCGAAGTTGTGGGAAAAATACTATAGGAAGGAACAGTTTATACCTTACATTATTAACAATAATAATAGAACTTACATCCATCCCAACACTATCATGTTTCTTTCGATATTTATTTTGTTTATTAGTAAACGTATAATCAAAAGACGGGTGTTTAAAGTAAGTCCATTCTGGCATTCCTTTACTATTTTGTCCGTTTGTTGGACTATTAATATCAATCACTTGATTTTCATCATTTGTCTTACTCCGTCTAGATAAACGATGTTGACGTTTATTTGCATTAACTCCTTGTAAATGCGTATAGCCAACATAATTAGATGGTGATGTAGTTTGTGAACAAGACTCTTCAAATACTGTCGGTGGTAATATTATCGAATCACCAGCGAAACGAGCTAAAAATCTTCCAGAAGTTGATGTTTTCCGACGCTTTTTATCAGTGGGTAAATTTGTACCAGTTCCACTAGAATTACTCCCGGAAGAATTAATAGCAGATAAAATAAGATTACTAAATGAAATTTTACGATTTGGTTTCTCTGGAGAAATTTCATCGACTGTTGTACAGAATTCAACTGTATTTGAATATTGTGTTGGATTTTCATTGTTTGTTGGGTCACTACCAATGAGTAAAGATTTACTTGCTGCAGCGGTACATGTTTCCGATGATATTTTTCTCAACGGATCAGATGATTGGTTAGGTGAACGAATATCACTCTCACGTCGATAACGTCGTAAATGTTTTTCTGTCACTAGCAACGCATCCCATGGGATAATCCAATTCATAGCACGTAGTTCCGCCTGGAATTTAGCACGGCTACAAAATGAAAAATAAAATTATAGCAGGACCGAGTCACTCATCCTCATTTTGAACCATATATGGTTCTCAATCAGTAAGTCAGTCACAACGTAGAACCTAGTGCGTATGTACATCAGTTTAATTTGCCACATCCTATTAGTGCAGAGGGATGAAAGTGTAAGATCGAATCCCAAAATAGTAGAGGAAGTAACAGTATCAGTGGTAATAAAAAGATTAGGCATCGAAGATACGACTTGAGAAGGGAATGCAAATTATTGAAATAATGAAAAGAATGGACGAGGAATTTAGAATTTGAAAGAAGACAAAGAATGCATTTACCTAAGAAATAACTGATCATTTATGGATTGCATATCAGATTGCTTTTCCTAGGATATGCTTTAAGTGACAAATTGTTAAGGTTTTTAACAGAAGTGAGATTTTGTCAAACCCGTTTCATTCGACGGTTATAACAGGACCTAGTTTTATCTGCAAATAATTTGAATTATACTGTTTTCAATATTCTTGACTGAATTTTGACAATTCTTATTTAGGATATTTGTATTCTGTTTAGATTGCCGCGATATAGATGCATTGTAACAATTTTTATAGAATACATGAGTTGGAGATTGCAGTGGAATGCAGGACGAGCGTTTCATCCTATTTGGGACTATTCAGTTGAATGGACTTGAATCTCATCTAGTCAAAATATCAACAAAAGAATAAAGCGAACTTCTACAATTTAAAATGAGGTGGTACTTATTACACAAACTGGTGGCTATCAAAACTCAGGAGCTCAGAGGATAATACGTTAGTGTTTAATTCAGTGCTCCATAATGTAAGTTTGAATGATGTTTTATCTGTGTAAACTAATATAATTAAACACTAGGATAAGGTAATTATTAATAAGCAGATAGAATCAAAAGAGAAACATAGGGAACAAAAGAGTTACAAAACGGTAATTATATGTTTTATTTTTCAAAACAATGTGATGGGTGCGAAAAAAACAACAGACACCGATACAACCAAAATACAACGCAATTCAGTAGTATCTAATAATAAAAAACGACGTAACCTATGATGATGATTGATGATGACAATAAAATGAAAGAAAAAAAAATACCAACGTTTACAATCAAAATAACTATCTATATGAGTTGTCTTTGTTCTCTCTTTTATTTAATTTGTTAGACGATTGTCAATTGATCGATGATGTAGTTTAGTTTATATTCCTACTATACAAACAGATGATCGAGCGAACAGAAATAGTAAGATAATTTTCTATTCATATATCATGGCAGCTTAAAAAAAATAGTTGGATGGTGAATCCTATTGAATAAGTCAAATGGAAAACGTCAAACTGCCCGAAATGTTGTTCTAAACTATATATTGGAGCTTTCAATGTTTGAACCATATGTAGAATCTGACAACCAGCTTCTTTTGCTAGAACTCTAAAACCCTGTGCCATCGATTCATGCTGAACCTCAAAAACATGTATACAGGATCAAAGTGAGCTAATTCACTTGACGTTATATAGTCAATATAGAGAACTTGCACGACCTACTTTTCATGTATCTGGGGTCTTGACTGTTAATTTCTTGAGGTCTCATTAGTCTAGGTATCAGATTAAATTCAAAAGCTGAACATACCTTCCTACACTGGGTTCCAGTAGACAGACACTTGTGCCCTACCAGACTAAATAGGAAAATAAGAACTCGGAAAGATAGGTACAAACGTCGCTTTCTCCTCAACTTTACTAATTGAAGTTCAGATGGAATAAGAGATAAGCTTTACATAAAACTTTCTGCCTTCATTTCAAAACCGAAAACCTCAGATGTGGTAATCGTAAGAAACGATCTTAATGCTAAAGTAGGCAGTCTGAATCAAACCGAAAAGTACTCAAGGTTTAATGGTGTAGTGGTTCAGAGAACAGATAATAGTGACCATCTGATGCAAATATGTTTAAATAACGGTTTGTTTCTTGCAAACTCCAAATTTAGGTAAAAGGCATCCCCTAACACTGCTATCCACCATAATCGACAAAAAGACGAATCTAAAAAGACTATATCCTCAATAGCTATCGTTAGAGTGGCTTGATAGAAGACTGTCGGTCATTCCAAAGTGCGAGTTTAGACTCTGATCACTCTCAAGTGTGAGCGCGTGTTTGCTTGCGTTTTAGTGGACGCAGAAAAATCACAACAAGAAACCCCCTAGAGCTCAGTTAAACAACGAAAAAATCAAGAGCATATTTTAAAAGCAACTACATAAACAATCCTACAGTCTTCAAAATGATGTTCACCCCGATGTACGTTGGTATCATATCCAGACAGCTGTGAAAACAGAAGTGATGTCTACCAGTAACTCAAACCAAAAGGTTAAAAAAAGACAGGCAAATTTCGACAGAGTCTATTTAGTTAATCGATATTTGGAAACCTACCCCGTCAAGTTTCGAAAAGAATGAGGAACGGAGGTGATTCAAACTTAAACCAATAGAAGGTCTACATGATAATAGTGAATAGTGGTGAGTAATGGAAGCAAAAGAGATGCAAAAAGCATCTGTGGCAAGTAAAAGTAGACAACTTTTCAGACTTTTCAAAGAAACAGGCAGTAAAAGGTTAGGTGTTAGTAAAGCTACATCAGAAATAAACGGGACTATGATATACACCCAGACTAAACGATTGGAATTATAGGTGGGACACACGTACTACTTCAAAACAACCAGAATGTGAAAATGAAAAGAAGTTCCTCGACTTTCAATGGAGACGAAAAGGTTTTAATATAGCTAATTTAAAGTGGGTTCTGATAGACTAACCCTAGAAATTTTTTAAGATAATGGTCCAGTTTTAGCTGTCAAATTGATTGAAATATTAGCTAGAATCTGAAAACTGGATATAATCCTATCTGACTAATCCCGGTTATTAATAATTCCAGTTTGTAAGAAAGGATAGAAGCCCTCATGTTCTAACCACAGAGGAATAAGTTTGACTAATGCAGAGTCAACACCCGGACTAGTGATAGAGAGTGAAACGGTTGAGAGCGTTCCATCAACTCTGGTGAGTTGGTGTTTGACGAAATCTCAGCACAGGTTTAGGAAGCGTATTTGGTTTTTAACGATTTGCATCATTTGTGGAGTAGGTGAGGTGTTCATTTATCAACCGAATGGCGAGTACAATATTCAGTAGTTCGTTCTGTGCTACTGTATGTCTGTAATATGTGCATTTTAATAACAAAGGACATTTGTAGGTCACTATTATTCAAAAATGGATGTCTTCGAAGTACTGACCACGTATTTTGGAATCACTAAATAGAAAATATTGAGGTTATCCAAAGGGGATTACTAGGCAAGGGATGCAAATCCATCGACGAGGTGGCGTGTCTTTATCTTGTTGGTACTGAAAGTTCGAGACGGTCAAACCAAGGGAAATGAAATCAATTCATTAAGTCATTGACAGTTGGACTGGACAGTGCTAGTAGATAAAGACTACCTAGTTGGGATCTACGCGATTATCGTAACCACTAGTGGTTAGAAACCACGAGTGATATGGCCCAGAATCGGTCACATAATGTAGATCCATTCATTCTTTATCTTCTCTCAGATCTTAAATTTAATATTCTTTTTCATAAGTATATAGCTTTTTCCAGATATCTCTGATACGTTTCATCCATACATTATTCAGAAACAATTGGATTGGATAACATTTGCCCATATGTCAGAAACACACAAATGTTCAACATTGAACATTGAGTAGTATTTTTTGTCTCGAAAAATCAATAGAAATTTATGAAAAGAATGAACAAAATGTAACGTAACATCACAATAGCACACAAAAAAATGACGAATCGATTATAAGAACAAGAGATTAATAGTTTTTCACTTACCGATAGAATATTATTCCCAAGACTAAAGACATTGTCATTAATAAAATAAATACAACTGCACCAATAATTCCAATATGAATAAAATCTGTAATTGGATGAAAATTAAATTAGTGAAAAACAGAAAGCCTAATAAAATTATATGACCCAAGACAACTCAATTTAAGTTGATGATGCTCATATATAATATATGTCAAACGATTATACTGATTTTGGTTACTTAATGAATAATTTTAAATAGAATAATATCATTTTATAAAATAGTAGAGTAATGGTGTACTGACAAGAATACGTAAATATAATATTCTATAATTACACAAGTATGATTATGTTCGCTTGACGATAACTATCAAATGAATGACCTTGGAATTAATACTACGGATAGTAAAACATACTGCTTTAGTGTTGCGGATTTATGCAAATATTTAGACATGGTAATTAAATAATAGTATTCATCAACAGAGTGTCTTTGATAGATTAAAAAAATTTTATTTGAATATATATGATCCGTTTCCTACGCAGAACTGATTGGGATTTTAAAATTGAAAAGACCGCTGTATACAATGGTTAAGATTGACTGTTATCTGTAAAAAAAGTTCAACAAAATTACACAGGCTACCATGAATAAATCAACCAGGCTTAAGATAACACCCCTCAGATTTTTGGGCGAAGTTTACAGCACAATAAGGGCTAGTTTGTGTCTCACTATTAGCTAAATAAGAATTATCCATATCTAGTTCTCAAAATGTTTAAGTCAGTCAGCTGTAACGTAGGACCAGGCACTGAATGTGACATGGTGTGTAAACTTAGTTATAATAAATGTCTGATACTAATACACGTTGTATTGAAGAGTACTTAAGGGAATACTGATGGATGTTTGTATAGTTAAAAACAACTCATTAACTCCTAATCGTAGCTCTTAACCCTAATCGTTATAAGTTTATAGACAAAAGGATGTCAATATAAAATATTGACCATATGGTTTATGAAATTCCATACTCATCTGTTTATTTGCTTATATATATATTAGATTATCTCTTTTGAGAATAAAAACGATAACGATTATAATGACAATAATGATGATAATAATAATAATCATTCTGATAATTCAATATACGATTATTATTACTATTAATATTATTATTATTATTCGCGCAAATGGGACAATGTAAGGGGAGAAGAAACGATGAAAAATGATTTCTTCTTCTATAACCTAACTAACTCATCTCTATGACCATCTGGCTGTTAAGAATAATAACTCAAATTATCATTAAATTATCATATATTAATCAGTTTCTTCCTGTATCTTTTTCAAATTTTTCTTTTTCATTTCCAACAAATTGCTATGATTACTATTAGAACTTTAATAAAATTAGTAGTATTATCATTATTATTTCTTCTTTTTTTTTTTAAGCATGAATTTGTTATTGACTCACAAATGAAGTTTGAACATTCATTCACTTTACTCATAAGTTAACCGACTAATAAACTAGTCATACACAATCAGTTAGCCAACTAACCATGTGAGTGATTAAATGAGGCTATAAAATTATAAGAGTAGAGAATTTCATGACATAAGTCGAAGTAGGGTTAGGGGTCACATGATCGCATGGTAGGTAAACAATAATTCCAGTCACTACTGATCAATAGATCTATGGACATGTATACAACTTATTACTTTAATGTACTGAACTCCCACCAACACGGATATCTTTGTCTGTTACGTATTTATTAATTATTTTATTTATTTTACTTGAAGTATGCAGATTAATAGAAGAAAAAGAAGAATGACGATAACACTAAAAGTGAATGACAATTATTATTATGATATATATGTATGAGAAAGAACCAGAGAATGTAGACGATAAAACACAATAATAATGTCAAATAATTATCATAGATTAAAAACAAAAAAAAACTGAATTTCCAGTGTATTCGAACTGACGATGAGGAACAAGAGAATAAATATGACCATTTAATAAAGATAAAATAATATTTCATAAAGAAAAACTATCACAGATTGTAAGCAGCTGACGAGAACCAAACGAAATAAAGTGAATTCAGGCCATTCTGCTAAAACCCTTATTCTTTCTCTCTTCAAAGTGATAAAGGGAACTATACGTATGAAAAATAATGTAACCAAACAAATGGATAAACCGTAAGATAAACATGAATATAAGTATACTTCAGTGACTTGTATTGGAAAAAGATTTATCTTGTTTGCAATGATCAGTACAAATATCCATAAACGATAAAGTACATCAAGAACAACAACTGTGAAATTAATACAGACTGATTTTACCTAATGGAACTCACATACTGAAGATCTTAACAAAAGCTATAGACAATAAAGTAACCGTAACAAAGCTGTGTCACTAATGCTGAATTATCCAGCTTCAAGGTCTACATAATTCGAAACTCAAAGTTCCCAACATTTTCAGTAGTATGACAAACCTATATTTAATTGATAGCACACATAAAACTGGCATTTTACAATCGTCTATGATAGTGAATATTAAATCGACACTTCTACATTATGTGTCAAGGGAGTATTTTATCACCAAAAATTGAAAACCCAAATTACGCGTTGATCAGAGAACATCGGTCAATTTATCACGACCATTAGATTGAAGTGTACATTTATGAAGAATTTCTTCAACTGTTGAATAGGAAACCATTTACTGTAGCAGCATCATTCAACCAAATACAAATCCAATCAATCAGTCAAACATACAACATAGAACCCGGCGAGTATGTGCAAATATGTTCAAGATGTCGTCAAACAACAACCTATCGGGGTTGATAAGACGTCCAAAATAAGTCAGATGGTCAATTTGCTCGACTACCTCACATCCTATTATTAGTTTAGATATTGACACATTCCAGTCCTGAAATAAGAATTTACATTAAGGAGGATAGAAATGTAACCTGACGATTGCTCACAGTATTCATCAGTGCGGCTAAAAGATTTCGTATTTTTTTAAAGCGTTTTAAATAAATAAAACATTATCATCGTATTATGGGTCAGTAAGTATATCTCCTGTTATGAATACAATAGTCCCTAGTGTTATCAATCCTTAGTTTTGACTTTATTGAATCCATAAGTGCTATGACTTTCTAAACTAGAACTTTGCAAAAATTTATCTGAAAACAAATCTCTAGTTAGGACTAAAATATGTTTAGTTGGAAGTGTAGATTTTAACTACTTTTAATTAAATTATACTGAGAATGTTATCTCCGTTGACAAATACACACATATATATATAGGGAGGAAGTACAAGAGAAACGGATAATTTCAGTTCTGAACGGTTTATAATTTATAAATAGGCACTTCTAATGAAATATTTAAAGTTTTAAATGTTTAGATTGTTTTTTAAGGGCAGATAAATTTTCAATTGTAAAAAAGTCATATGAATAATTCCACTCTGTGTGTCCCAATGAGTGTTTGGTATTTCTTATTTTGTTCGCAATAATTTGAGTGGTGAATTAATTTATTCATGAATACAAGAAGTTGATGATCAATTCCATAATATATCTTAGTTGGAAAAAGAAAATATTCCTGTTATCACATTCTTGAGAAATATCACTGGGAATAAGATTTATTATTATTACTATTATTCAGATTTATTCAATCAGTCTCTGCATGGATCTTTTTTGATTTCTCATATAAGTTAACAGTCAGAAATCGAAATAGTTGACAGATACGAGAAAATTGAATTACTCATGAAAAAGAAAACAGAAATTCAATATCTAATTAAAAGATAATGAAATCATCAGCTAATTTTTTAATAATGGAAATAGTATTAATTAATAATAAATCACATTTATTGTTGTTGTTATCGTCATCATCACTATGGTCCGTTATTTGATTTATTAAATTAATGTCAATATCAAACAATCAATAATCGGATAACTAATATCGTTGAAACAACACAGTGATTACAAATATATAATAAGTACCACATTACAACTCATATGAAGACATCTAGATTAAAGATGTAAAGAATGATTGTTTTACTGGATATTGAGTCGCATCCAATAATAATAATAATAATAGTGTAGAAAGTTGATCTATGATATTTGAAAAATGGTTTCTCAAAAATAACTCCATAACCGTTATATTCAGATCATACTGATCATAACACATGACTAATATGGACGATTACTAATTGTCTCAAGATTAAGCTAAAATACTTCACATTTCTAGCTAAATAGCGGAAAAGTAGATAAGAATACTGACTGCATTACATTTATTGTATCTAAATGATTTGATATAGTCAGTGGAAAAAGAAAAACTAGACGATGTATAATTTCAGTTTTCAAGCAAAAATGATAATATAATAAATAACACATGAATACTTTAACAAGAAGATCAGTTTTATATAACTAAATGGGTAAGAACTAAACTGAACAATGTGTTTGATCGGACACCATTGGAAGCTTAAAGATAAGATAAACGATGTACATGTTACGTTTATTAATGCTTACATTAAGACAATAACCAGTAAAAAATGTTCTGGATATTTTTTATAACGTGTGAAGTGTACATAATAACTGATTATGAAGCAATAAGTAGCATGTGAGCAGCTAACCAAACTGATAAACCACACAATAAGATATTAGGTATATTATAAATAAATGGACTTCTCCACAGACTACCCGTAAACCATACAATATGAAATATTGTGAATACTGATATCGAGTCATTTAATTTAATGACCATATGGCAAATTTAATCGAAAACCATTTTATCAACATAGAAAAACAAGAAAAAAACAATACAATAATTACTAGTTAATATATATACAGATATGAGAAGATAAACTGAAATAAACACCGTTAACAAAACTATGAACTAAGTCCAAATTCCGCATGATGTTAATATTCTGACAAATTTAATTACTAATGCATTAGAAGAGTATTTATTATGAGTAGTATTATTGAATTGGTGTATACATCACAGTATTGAAATGAATAAGTTGAACTTCTTTGAAATAACTAATCTAATAAACAACTTTTGACTTTTAAGCCAAAAAAAGAACATTTTCATGACAATGAACCTTTAATAAAAGAAGTTAATTATTTTTCATTTACTGTCATTAGTTTAACATTCAAATATACTATAAAATTGAACTATTGTTAATAGTATAGCATATGAGATTAATGAGTTCAAGTAACAATCTATTGATAGATAAAATAAACTTCTAGTCTATAAGTAGGTTGTATATTGATTATCATCCATGTGTTCATCAATACAACCTTCTAAGAAAGACAATATCAAAATTATCAGCATAATTGAACTGGATGATACACTAAAACAGTGTTAGGTAATTTATCTTATGAACAAAATAAATACTAGTTTGTTCAATCTTAGTCAATAACAAATGATCATTAAATGAATTGTGGAAATTTGATCAGATTTTTTCTTCACTAACAAAGAAGAAAAAAAAGCTATCTAAAATAGGTATTATTTTACTTAGTTCAATGTAAAATAGAAGTAATCATTATTACAAAGATATTAAATTGTTATATTTTAACATATGTACAAATCTTAAATATTTAAGAGAGTACTTTTAAATAATTCTATCACTAGCAATATGAAGTGTTATTCTCTTTTGAAATAATTATGATTGTTATAAATTTGTTCTCATTTTTACTGTTACTATCCTCATACACGCTAACACAGAACTTCATTCATTGACTAATGAAAGAGGAAAAAAGAAACTTACGACTATTATGACATTCGGAACCATCGAATCCACATGGTGGTGTATGCAATGGAGGTTGATTATCAGCATTTATCCAATCAATTGTTCTACCGGGAACAGTTGATAAAGACTTATCATTACCAAAATAATTTACGACAACCTATTATTATTTTTTTGAAGAAAAGAAAGAAGGGAACAAACAAACGACAGAAGAAGGTGAATACATCATAAAAACAAAAAGAATAAAATACTGAATTAGGTGTTACGAAACGAAACAAGTACGATCAATTTTATTAAATAATCAAAAAGAACATTTTTAAATCAATACATAGTAACTTACGTTGCTGTTTCATTTGTTACATATATCGAACCACCTTCTATCTAAACGTGCTATGGTTCCTGATATGGAACTTGGTTGGAAGAAATTTGAAGGTATGGTATCAGTACATAAAGTTATTGACTATTGGTCGAAGTCATGTAGGTTGATTCAGACTACCCAATTCGGATCCACAGGATGACCGAGATCAGTGGCTGAAGATTTTGAGTGACATGGATCAGAATCGATTGCTATGATCCTGGTGCATCAGCTCTTTATCTCCCTCTCAATATGCGATTCCAGTATTTCTTTATACACAAATTAATACCTTATTTTTTAAAACGATATTCTAAATGTTCAATATTTCTCATTATCGTTGCCATCACATTACTTCTATCTGTTCTTAAATTCTTATTATATTCATTTTGTCGTGCCAATGTGGTATAGCAGCTTGTGTCAACTCATATATTTTCTTGGTTCTATGTTGATGTTGATTGACTGACCGAATAACCCAAATAAACTCATTTTGGTGAATCGATCATAAGCTACTCATTAAACTGGTGAAGTAAAGGCAGTTCGCTAATTAGGTTACTCATATCTTGTAGATAACATCTACTATGTTGCATTTTTGTAATTAAAAACTCAGTTTTTCACTTAGTTTATATTTATAGATAATGGAATGAGCAATATCCAATCAGACATGAACAACATAAAACCTAGAACATATGTACTTCGCTTCAAGCCGCCAAACCCCATTGACGCAATGAGATGAAGTTACTAAGACAAACCCCAGAGCACTAGAAGTAGTAACATTATCAGTAGTGGTAGAAAAGATAAGGAGTACACAATATGATTCGATAAGAAACAATGAATTCATGGGATGAAAACAATATATTTACAAAGTATAGTTCTGGAATTCATCATCTGTAAGTGAGCTCATCTACACCCCTGAAAGTGATTTTCGGCCATGTCACTCGACCTCTTCAACAATTGATTACGATAAATGTACAGCCCCTGACCAGTTAGTATATACCTATCAACACGACGAAGTTCAACAGTTAATGGCCTCATGGACTGATATCACGTCTCAATTTGATCAAATAATCAGTCAGTTGAAAATAACGTACAACATTAGGATACGTTAGAAACCAGCGCAATGAGTGAAAATTAACCGATTTAAGAGCTATTTACTTAAAACAAATGTAAAAATGATGATAGAACAATAAACAATAAGAATAAGACTCGAAAATAAATTAAACCGAAAAAAACATAACGTATGGAACAATATTAATAATCAACAACTAGAAAAAAGTAAAAATGAATATATCTGTGATAATGAGGTCGATTTGAAATTATGTCACTAAGAATTTCCAAATATATAGATTAAGACTGCCTTGGGGAGCCAAATCAGAAATTCTACACGAATGAATACGCTTCAGTCGAGTAGTTAATCATTCACTGTCAATACTTCTAGATTTCTTGTGGCCTACTCTTATCCCAACTACCACTGGATGTCGGGAAATATGACGGCTAGATATATGTCATATATATTTCAGACGCCATGGTCGATAAAGGTTAACAGTCTTGTTTATCTACGCTTACTCTCAAGATTACCCACTGGGCGGCGGAAGCGTCATATGAGGACAATGTGCTTTGGAAATATTTATGATTGAATAATACCATCCTATATATAATTACATTTTGAATATTATTAATGACGAAGTTTTGGCAGTTATCAACCACTTTTCTACCAATATAATTTGACGAATAATTTTATCAGTCAAAGCATCAAACGATATAAACTTAATCTCTAAGGCGTTACATTAATTTACTAGACGTTATAGATGTTTATGACTACTTCTGAATGAGTATGAACAAACAGATATTCGTATCAAGTACAAATCATATCCTCATATTGATAGTAATGTAATATTCAGTTATATTTGAACTATAATTAAACAACTGAAACAAAATTGTTTTATCGGTTTCCTTTTTTGGAAGGGGGTTTCAATTTGCAGATAAAGCATACGATTATTTTTTCTAGTTTTGTTTTAAAAATGTGACAAATGTGAGAAAAATGAACAGAGAATGATCAACAGAATATAGTATATCTCTTGTTTTTACTATGAATAACATTATTATTGTTTACAATAGTTACTAACGCTGAATGATAGAAAATAAATAGGTACTAAATTATATATATATATATATATATAAACTGGTGAAGTGTGTAAGAAACACTGACAAGAAGATAATTCCCTGGAGACCATCAATGAAATTCACTGAATTATATCATCTAACATGTATACATGTGTACAGATATGCACAAACATACATGTATGTGCATATACAATCATTTACATCTTGAAAGAGGATAATATTTAACACGAAAAAAGAAAGTTTTAGATACTTTTTTCCGTTTTCTTGGATTTCCATTTTGTTTTCTCTACTTACTTTGCTAAATACTAAAATGTACTGACTGAATATGAAAAACAATACTAGGACTAACTTTACATAACAAAGCAAACAGTGACAGTTGTAAAAAATAACTTGAAAGGAAGGATGGAAAAAAGGGAGAATGTGAACTAATAACTAAGACTTTCGTAGAAACAAGGAATGTAATCCTGACTAGTTGATATTTAAATAAATGCAGTCAGTACCAGACATTGTAACAGTTCTGTGATGATCATGCCATAATGAATTATTTCATGCAAAATAAAGTTCTACACTGATATACACATATCTGACTATAATCAACTGACCACTGGTAAGATTACAAAGGCGAAATGTCATTATTTCAATGTTCACTAATCATACGTGACTATAAATGTCATTGAGCTGTATTAGGGGTTAAACTGGAATATTTTTTATAAGATGCCTAGTTTCTGAAGGGATCTAGTTATATTACCAATGCTGAATGAATGAAAGGCTTTAAAGACAATTTTACTACCACTAAGTAGAGAAATATGTGATTAGTCAGATGTTCACACCCGACCTACATTTTGGTGCATGAATAGCAATGATTTCTTTTTCGTTGCATAAATCAGAATTGAGTGAAAATTCTTCTCTCCAAACCCGTCTAAACTTAGGTATAACAAGCGGTTTTGTGTAGGAAAAAGTTTTACAACTTTGGATGGAGTTTGTTCCAGTTGAGCGTTACAAATCTTTTTCTATTATCTCAGCATTATATCAAAGTAACATACTTTTCTAACTACCACTAATGAAATGCTTAATTGAATGACCGTAACTGACAGTTGAACACCATAAAAATAAAGTTTAGCGGGAAAAATCGAATATAATAAACACTAAAATAACATTTTGCTATAAAGACAGAATATCGATTTCAGTATTATTTAATTGCTTTATCTTTTCTTGCTACTTGTTTTTAAGAAGTCATCAAACTCCATGGTACGATTTTCACAACTAGGTCAATATTTTTATGTATAGAATGTTATTGATGATAAGTTCAAAACACCTAAACACCTTCGATTGTAAATAAATTTCAACACCATTACTTACTTCGAAGTCTCCAGTTACAGGGTTCATATCCAGTAAAGAATAATCAGCGTTACGATCACCATTCGCATCAATACGTACAACACCAGTAACGCCTATTTCAGTAAACAAAAACAAAATAAAACTTAGTGACACCTTGATTGTTATGTTTAACGTATCAGAAGAAATCAATAATGCTTTTTAAAGAGTACATAAAATACAAGTCCTTTGAGTTATAATTGTTAGTTTACCGATCATAATATATGAACTATAGCTTGTATCAAACCATTCATATTCGCTAATAGTATTTTATTATTGTATTCTCTCGGTTAAATGATTCGAGTGTAGAGCTCCTATTGTCATCCTGAAAGATGTTTCCTAACTCTCAGTCTAGTTGGATGGATGAAGAATTGGCTTGCTAACCTATTAGAGATCAGTTACACAGTTCAATAGTAAACTGTCTACAACCGATCTTAATTTAGACAACTTTAATACGATATGGTTGACAGTTCCACATATGGAGTTATACGGGCCAGGGTTAGTGAACATCGTTTTCTTGATATTATGAATTGCCCACTCGAGATGATGTCATTATAACACGCAATGTAAAATTTATATTTTAAACTATACTTACATGACTTTCATTTAAATGGTTACAACTCATCATTTCACTGAATCTTGATGTTATCGTGGTCTAAAACATACGCATACATTTTCACTTATATGATCTAGTAATTTTACACATCACTTGTTCAGCATTTAGATAAATCAGGATCAGCAACACGTTGATTGTTTCCTTTCATTTTCTAGTCTTATTTTATCACAATGACGAATACAATCAAATACTTTTTAAGTGCGTTTATACGTCACACTGACTAGAAAAAATGTTCACGAAGAAGAGGAATCTATTCGAAACAAATATGCACTCAAATTTACCTTGTTCATTTTTTTAAATAAATTGTTTTTCATAGAAATCTTTAGAGTAAAAATGTATAAATATTTCAGGTATACATATCGTTTGATCAGTGAGAAATTCATCACAATAAATTTTTAAAAGATTATAATAACAGCAGCAAATATCGTGCAATATCAAGGATTGGTTAAAGTTAGACTAGTAAACCATTTGATCCCAGCTCAGAGGTGTAAATGTTAGGAGTCAACGCATGAGATCGAAGGCCTTGAACTCAATTTGCAGTTGCGAGTTCGTTGACACCCACTCCTGAAGATTCCCATACTAGGGCGAAGCAGCTGTCCAGTGCCTCCTAGTTCTCAATGGTTATCTAGCTTAGAAACGTTCGTGATTTCATTATTTATTGTTTCACTAAAGAAGCACAACATTTTAATCCATTGGTAATGCTTTTTACTCAAATCACATATAACATACAATTGAATACAATGAGAAGTTCAATAATGTTAATATACCCAATTGTCAAACAATAATCTAATCAGTGTAAAAATCGTTCTCCAATATTGCATAACTGTGCAAATGTACATGTGATAAATTATAGGTCAGTAAATGGTTGTATGTTTATTAAAATATCATTGATTGTGATACGAAATAAACACGAAACTAAGGAAGAAAAAAACTTATGAAAAATGAGAAATATATCACCAACAAAGTGAATACAGTAACTGGGTATTTAAATTGAGATATGTTATACTCTCAGCAGTAAAGTGAAACTTCATGCCATAAGTAATCTAATCCTAGGAAATATGCTATTATTAATGTTATATAACTGTGCAGTTTTGAAAATGATCTAATCGTGAAGGATCAATTTTACTGAACAATTTTTTAATCCTTTATTATTTTATTTTATTCATATTGACTTGAAACCAACCTTTAAATGTTCTATTCCACATTTCTTGTGTAATCAATGTACCATTAGTGATTGTTCCACCTTTGGCTAAGGCATCATTTAAAGCTAAGGCGTACAATTTGACAGCATCATGAAATGTTCCAATGAACGGTGTTACCTTTGATAAACAAGGAGGAAAACAAAATGAACTGATAAATATAATTTGAAAATAGTATGAATCACTGATTTGTGATTAAATTTTATTAGTTGATTATTCATATTAAAGTTAGATATCTGATATGTGGATATCACCTAATAATCAGTGAAAGTTCAATACATCGACTTCTATGTTATTTCTCTTTACTTTCTTTATCACTCTGGTTTATTTTACCTGTCCTTTGTTTTGTTTATCAAAATATTTATCTGTCATGCCAATTTGTATAATCATTACTAATCTATTGTGATTATTGATCATTTATTAATAATATAAACTTTGAGTGATATTTTTCGTCTAAGAAAAGAAATACACATACATACATAAACAATCAGGCTGGCTTCAGGCCTGGACGTGGCTGCATCGACCGCATATTCACCATTCGTCAGGTTTTGTAACACAGACATGCATATCGGCGTTCGACAATGGTGGTCTTTCTTGACTTAAAAGCACCATTTGACTCCGTAGACCGCGAGATTCTGTGGCAGTGTCTGTCATTGAAAGATGTACCTCAGAAGTACATAAATCTTGTGAACGCTCTTAACTCTAATACTACCAGTCGAGTAAGAGCTTATGGCGAACTGTCATCTGATTTTGCAACCTCAAGTGGCGTCCGTCAAGGCTGTCCACTATCTTTATTTTTCGTTTAATTTCATCATATATCTACCAATGGAAATAACGCTCTCAACGACTGAGTTTTCAGGAATTGATCTCCTTCCAGAAGGTTCACTTATCGACTTAGAATACGCAGATGACATAGTTCTGTTTGGTGAAGACGCTGACAAAATCCAGTCTTTTGGTAGCACCGAGCAGCAATGCCAGGATGTTTGGGATGTGCTTCTCCCCTCCAAATGCAAGTTGTTGTTTCAGGACTGGTCTGCATCAACACTGGAACTACGAATAGGGAGTGAAGTAGTCGAACTCGTTGACAACTTCACTTACCTAGGAAGTCTGATCAGCCCAAATGGGTTGGTGTCTGACGAAATCTCAGCACGGATTCGAAAAGCTCGTTTGGCTTTTACCAACTTACGTCACCTTTGGCGAAGGCGAGATATCCGTCTATCAATTAAGGGACGAGTATACTGCACGGCAGTTCGTTCTGTTTTACTTTACGGCAGCGAAACATCGCCATTAAGAGTTGAAGATACTCGTAAGATACTAGTATTTGACCACAGATGCCTTAGAAATATTGCTGGCGTCTGTTGGGATCACCGGGTAAGTAATAGTGAGGTCAGACGCAGGGTATTAGGTAATGATGGTAAATCAGTTGATGAGGTTGTGAATCTTCATCGACTGAGATGGTTGGGCCACGTGTTACGTATGCCTAAACAGAGACTAGAACAACGCACAATGGTGACTAGTGTTGGGGATGATTGGAAGAAAATTAGTTGCGGCCAAACCTAAATGTGGCATCAGTGCTTGAAGTCACTAACTTCTGGTTTGAGTCATGTTGATAGATGCAGACAACTTGGCTGGAGTCGGCGTGACTATCTTAATCAATGGTTGGAGACTCTTGGTGACATGACTCAGAATCGATATATACACTCTCAGTGTTCCCTTAAACCGTGAGGTTAAAATTGCTTTATACCTCTCTTTCTACAAACTAATTCTTTCTTCCTGTATTATATCACTATATGCAATCTTTCTTTTATATATTACTACCATTGAAGTAACCACTTCTATGAATTCGGTGTTCATCTTGTTGTGCTAATGAGATGTGGTAACTTGTGTCTGACTGAATAACTAATATACACACACAAAATCTATGGAATCTTTAGTCGTAAAACACGATTAGTAAAAGTATAATATCGGAATGAGCTTGAAAGATCTTTAAAATGGACGCGTGATTTTGTAGCCACCTTTCAGTTCATTAGCAGAGAGTTTGTATAAATTAGGAGTAATTCGTAAAAGAAAAGATAAATTTGCCGCAGTTTAGTAGTTCAGGGTTTATTATCAGTTTTTCAATTTATTTCTTAATTTTGTAGAAATATCTTTAAGCAACATCACTAATCTGAGTGTGAATTTGTTCACTCTGAATCTTTCTTGAAGTCATAAATAGTTTTAGAAAAAGCTAATTATTGTCTACAGAATCTCTATTAATCGATTCGCTGAGGAGCTATGTAATTGAAATAATATGAAAACTATCATCATTGCCGTATCGATATAAAAAATTCACGTTTAACTATCGTAACATTCCTACTTCATTAGCTCACTTTTATTCAGCGAACCATTAATAAAATGATTTCTTTGTGAATTTATTGTGCACAGTACTGTTTTTCAATCTATTCAATTTGACGATAATAAAACAATACAAACAAGTGAATAAGAGGAATCCATCATATGTGCATGAGTTCTAGAAGATATATATATATATAAGAACGCATAGTGATCCATTTTTGATTTGATTACACATTTACAGAAGTTAGACTAAATAGGAATGAAATTCAGTCCAATAACTAAGCAACTTAAAACGAAGTAAATCAATACTCAAGATTTCATAAGAAGGTAGAGGTTGCATCGTGGATTTTTGTTTTTACTTTCAATCTATCCACAGCTTCTAATTGTTCGTTTATTCCTTTTTCGAAATATTTAACCACTGCTTATAAGACAGTTTATTTTTGTTCAATTTTAATAGATCGTTTTATTAATTATAATTACAGGTTATTATCTCGTACAATAATGTACGTATGCAACAAGTTTTTTTATAAGTAGTAAACTGATTGAGGTGAAAACTTGTATTTCATCTTTCGATATTTGCATTGAATAACTATAATTAGAAGTTAGTTAATTACACAGTGCCGGTGGTATACTGAGTTGCCTGTTTTGAATAATTTGTGTGAAAGACATTTGAGATGTGTATAGTTTTCTACACACACACACACACACACATTTTTAATGTAAATATTTATGTTGCGTTTCACCACTAAACTCGTTCATACGTTCCATCCATGAAATTAAACATTTGAAAGTAGGTTAATTTTAAGCTATTATATTTATCAAACGGTTAACAGCCTGAAACATTTTAACACTTAAACTGAATTATCTTTAAAATACTACATGTATGAGTAATTTTTAGACAAAATTGATCCCAAAAGATATGTCATCGTATCAAACTTGTCAAGATAGGCGGTTCATTATCCTACGACTGGTAGAAGACAACTATCATTTGTACCACTCTACAATTTTTTATTCTTATAAAAGAAGTTCATTTAGTGCAGGGCATCAATTGTCACTATGAATTTTGAATTAAATTAAGACACAGTAAATCTGAGGTTCTTCTCACTAAAAATGACTTTTCGTTGTACAAGTTACATTAAAGTACGATCCGAGATACAATGGTGGCTGGCAATATGCATTGGAAAGAATGAACATTAAACAAATGTTGATTCCTGATCTGCAAATATCTGACTGGTGATCACTCAACATTTATCATCAAGATCGATCAATAAATAAGAAAAGGAAACTTGTTGAGATATTCGGTGCTGAGAATAATAATAATTTTAAAAAAGAAAACTAATAAAGGTACGTGAATAAAAACGTATACAGAAAAAGTTAGTCTTAGAACTAATGTGCTACTGAATAAGTATAAACAGATGTTTTTCTCAAGAAAAAAAGAAAAGTCAATTCATTTATTGGGATTTTATTACATTTAAACTTATTAAGCAAATTAGACTAAAATTAATTTTACTGATGTTATTTTTATTTTAAAAAGTTGACATAGATTTTGTGCAACTTTCAATTTTTTTTATCTATTTTCTTTTTTGGATTTTTTTCTTCCAAAAGTGATTTTCACTACAAACTAATATTGTTAGAGAATTTTTATTAAAAATCAAGGGAGTATTGTATGGTTAGCACTTAAGTGATGGCGTTGAAGCTCACCCTAACAAAGCAAACGGAAACAATTTTACATAGAACACTTAATTTATGAATGTATTTCAACGGTGATTGCATTTAGATGCGGTATTTATTTATTTAAACACATAAACAGTGGTACAAGGAGGCATCAAATTGATATAAGCAACATAAATTTGGGAACTGGACGTAATCCCATCTAACTGGTCTCAATCACTGATTGTGCCAGTTTTTAAGAAATGACAAAAGTCCTCTTGTGACAATCACAGAGGAATCAGTTTGACTAATATAGTGTCTAAAATATTAGCTTCAATAATACTTCGACGCCTAACCAAAGCTCGTAAAGAGCAGACTAGAGAAAATCAGGCTGGTTTTCGACCTGGATGTGTTTGTGTAGACCAGATATTCACACTACGTCAGGTTCTAGAACACAGACACATATTCAGACGCCCCACAATCGTAGTGTTTCTCGACCTTAAGGTAGCATTCGACTCTGTTGATCGTGAGGTTCTATGGCAGTGTTTGTCGCTGAAAGGAGTACCAAAGAAGTACATTAACCTTATAAAGGCTCTCTACTCGAACACAACTTGTCGAGTGAGACCTTATGGCGAACTGTCATCAGAACTGATTACCTCAAGTGGTATTCGTCAGGGCTGCCCACTCTCTCCATTCTTGTTTAACTTTGTCATCGACGTACTTTTAGAGATAACACTTTCCTCGTCTAGATTTCCAGGGGTTGAACTTCTACCAGGAGGTTCACTTGTTGACTTAGAATATGCTGATGACATAGTTTTATTTGGTGAAGAAGCTGACAAAATGCAGAGTCTTCTGACCACTCTAAGCAACAATGCAAGCATGTTCGGGATGCGATTCTCCCCCTCGAAATGTAAAATGTTGCTTCAGGATTGGGTTGCATTGACACCCGAACTAATGATTGAGAGTGAAGTAGTTGAGTGTGTCGACCGCTTCACTTATCTTGGAAGTCTCATCAGCCCTTGTGGTCTGGTGTGTGACGAAATCTCAGCACGGATACAGAAGGCGAGATATCCGTCTATCAACCAAAGGACGTGTTTACTGCGCAGCAGTTCGTTCCGTCCTACTTTATGGCAGTGAAACATGGCCGGTAAGAGTAGAGGATATTCATAGGCTACTAGTATTCGATCATAGGTGTCTTCGAAACATTGCTCGTATATCCTGGGACCATCGAGTAAATAACACAGTTGTTCGGAAATGGGTACTAGGTAAGGATGGCAAATCCATTGATGACGTAGTGAAACTTCATCAGTTGAGATGGCTGGGACACGTGTTACGTATGCCCAACCACCAAATGCCTCGACGTGATATGTTCAGTGGTATAGGAGTAGGTTGGAAGAAAGCTAGGGGCGGCCAGACCAAAACATGGCACAAATTCATGAAGTCACAGACAAGTGGACTGAGTCATGTTGGTAGGTGTAGACTACCTGGTTGGGGACCACGAGATGAAAGCAACCGATTGTTAGAGACCTTGAATGACATGTCTCAAAATCGTTTGCAATGGCGCAGGTGAATCCACTCTTTGTGTTGTCCCAAATTCTAATCTTCCCTTTCTTTTTTCTCTTTCCAAATTTATTTCACTGGATTATAGTCCTTGAATAACATCTTCAAAGCCTAATTTTTCTGATTACAGCTTATAATCTTACTACATCTAGCACTACGGGATTTGTATCGACCACTGCATCTCTGTGCTAATGTGGTGTGGCAACTCGAACTGATGTACGTACGTACGAAGTTCTACGTTGTTACTGACAGACTGACATTCGATTTGTGTGAGGGCTAGCATGCTGCGCGGGTGCCTAGACCGAATCAGGTGGCTTTTTTAGCGGGCTACACCCAGAGCCTTTGACCTAAAGGTCTAATCCACAAATCAGTGGAGCAACGTAAGGAAATGCAGTCCCATGGTAGCCGGTGATCAACAATTGGTTCTAACGCCATTTGTTTCCTTAGGATGCTGGATCCCATGTACACCACTGGTTTGGAATCATGGTTTTCCAACTTCCCCACCTTCACCAACCCGGTTAAAGCCCCAGAAATTCGCTTTTCGTCCTCTCAATTTCGTAAACAACACCCCCGCCACAAGAAAGCAGTGAGTAGGACTTCCATGGCAGTGGTTGTATGCACGTGGCTATATGAGAGCATTTCGAGAGGGAGAGTTGACTCCTCCCACTCTCGAAAGTACCAGGGCATTTATGGGCATTGGAAGGGTGATCCTCACATATTTCTATCATATTATTCAGTTTGAGACTTAATAGGGAAGGAATAAATTATAAGTGTGTAGAAAAAGTGTTTATGATAGAAAGAATTATTTTAAGTCAATTTTTCAACAATCATATACGACAGGCAATTTATTTGATTGAATTTTACAGTTGATTGAATACTAAGTAGTGACCATTGTCATGTGTATTTCAAGTACTTTTTAGTACTGATCGAATATAATTGAACTAATATTGGTTATGGGATCCTATATAACAACTAGCATTGATAATCCTACACTGGGAGCGCACGACTGAATCTAAGCTGCGTATTTTAAAATCAATAGAAAAGTCTGAAACACTACAATTAGTCCAACAAAAATACGTTGAACATACACGTTAACGTATTATAAGCAATCTTAACAAATTTATTTAATTTTTCTTGTGTTTCACAAATATATAGATGATACTCATTTCAAAATGTAATGTGTGTATATGTGGGTTAAAACGAGAAATTTTCAAATAAACTCTCGTTCAACCTACCTCAGAATCTCGATAACTAAATTCATAATCACGTAAAGCTCTTGCTCTCACTTCTTCTGTAAATGTTCGATATTCAGGACTGTCAGGTTTCAAAAGTGTTACAGTCATAAGAGCACGATAAGCTTGACGTGCTCTTTCGTTTTCTTCTGGACTGGATGTTTCTTTATACCAAGGTCTTTTCAATTTTGTTTGACTGAAAACAACGAAAAAATACATATATTGGTGATGGACTAATTAATTAATTAACTAAACAGACATTAAAAAGGAAGAAGGTATTTGTAAAATCTCAGTGAATGGATTTACTTTACTCCCACATCAACTCGGCGCGCAAATACTGTGAAACTATTCAATCAAATATAGACGAAAGTTCTTATAAATTAATTTAACAGTTAAAACAATTAGCAAACCATATGATAAAAAATATTCATTTTGATGATAATTACCAGTGAGAATACGTTAGACTAAATATATACGCTTAAAATAATGTAAACTCTATGCTAAAAATGACGAAAGAAAATAGTCGATCTTACTGTCAAAGTTCAACTTAATTTGTAAAGACAAAATGTCACAGAATATGTTCGTCTTTTTCCCTAAGTATCGTTTTTGCGGAACAGCGATGAAATATTTTTACCTTCATTTTATCCGCTATTATGATATGTTTGACAAGAGTTTAGCTATATTATGCATCACAGTACAGTAACCGCGGTACTTACAGATAACCAAATAAACCAATTTTTACTGTTAATAAAAACCTAGTCTGTCCAAAATTGATGTTTAAATATTAAAAACACCAACTAATGGGGTAAGAATAAATCTTAAAAGTATCAATAGAAAAGATCGAGAAGAGATGTGATATGAAATAAAAATTACTCATGAGTAATATACTCAGATAACATCACAAATGTCATAGTTCTGTTAAAATTGTATTCGCCATTAGGCAAGACCACTAGTGATTTATATTATATTACACAATACTAAGTAATAAGGCAAAGTATATCATTATTATTCAACAACAAGTGTTATTAAAAGTATTCCATACAGATCCGCTGAGTTGTAAAAAAGTATGCAGAGTTGTCAGGGGTGATAGCCTCAATAATATCATACACTACTGCCAATAGTTAACTATTCTGATAAATATTTTGGTAAAACGGTTACTTATCATGTATTTTCAGGAGAATGTTCCCTTTCTCGGACACGCTCTGATAGACAGTCTTGTAGCGCAGAGACGCTGGCAAAACAAGGACGTCGGAAAATATTCGAATTCTTCACACCTACCATGTATAAAATGTCGCTTCCAGACCGATCTCCATTGAGATCTTCTTTAAGAAAGTAAAGCTATACGTTCATATGCATTGAACAGTCTGGTTTTTATAATGTATCATTTCTGATAAACCAGTCGACTGTGAAATTTCGATAGGGAAAAAGAATGCTCCTTGGGAACTCACGCGCCTACACAATCTATAATCCAATCAATAGATCTATTTATGAACACTAAGTTGAATTCACAGATATTATTTACATTTTATGATATGAAATAACCACAATACTGGGGAAACATCTATATTTCATCTTGATCTTGAGTTTATTCTATTAGATTAAGAAAACAATTTTTAATCTCTACGCATAATTTTCATAATGGTTATCAATCTTTTTCTCTCAAGCATATTTGTAATAAAATTTGAAATGGAAACTAATATGATTTGTATGAAACACAAAACATTGTCATATATCTATTTATTTATTACATTTTATGAAAAGGATATTGTTTGTTCTATGATTTAGAACTGAACAAACAGGTGAGTAATGGTATTTCAATGGAATCTCATTGTAACAACTCAGTTTACCAAAAGACAACTTAATGCTATTAAAGTGTAAATGTGGAAAATAAACGGTAATTTAATTTTTACTGAATTTTGTCCATTTGCTTTATTCATAAAATTAAAGTTAGAAGTGTGTGTGTGTGTGTGTCATAAAAATAGATCAATCTAATAGTCATTATTTAGATAAAGCAAAGAAAACATCCACTGATTAACTGTTTGAAAAAGGAAAACGACAAAAACACTTAACTACCAAACATTAAGTGAAATTAATTAATTAATTATTTTTTTTCTTTTTAATGAATAATAGCAAGTGATGTAAACAACGAATCATTTATTCATTTAAACAAAATTCTAATATGATATGATAAATAAATAAATTATTTACTACAAATAATAATCAATGAAAAATATATCACATTATCAATTAAAATAGGTTAATTTGATTAAAGGACTTAATCAATTATCTAATCAACTTTAAAACAAAATCACTGTTCATACAATTAATTTATATCAATAATTCAAGGATCATTTGATTAGAAAATATGCCATTATTATTGCTCTTACTATTATTATTATTATTATTATTATTATTACTATTATTATTATTATTATTATCATTATTATTATTATGAATAGACCTAGACTTTTCAATATATACCATATTGTAAAGAAAAATCAAATATGTAATAAATAGTTAGATTGAAAATAGCCCACTATAAATGAATGAATAACATGTTGAATATCACAGAGTAGATATATAATTATAATAATTATCATTATTCCCACCGTCAAAGTTTAATTTACTTGGATTTCATTAAATGCAATCTTAATTAGATCATTAACTTCCGGAAAACAATTGTATTTATAAATTTACGTGTACCTGCCAAAGCAGCTACATTGGCCGAACAGAAAGGAGGGCATATCTCAGATTTTTTGAACATGTTCCAAAAAGCCTCAGAACAAGAGAAAGAAAGACTCTAAATAGTGCAATCACCAAACATCTTTTTGATACAGGACATCAGGTCGATACCCTACAATCATTCAAGGTGATTAGTAAGCAGCAAAACTCCAGTCTTCTGAAGTTTGCTGAAGCAGTTGCTATCAGGCGCCAAAAGCCTGATTTATGTGTTCAAAAGGAGATGGTTATTGATCTTTCCTTGCCTTGGTGATTAATATTCCTTCGTTATATCTTAATAATTTTTTTCTTTTTCTTTAAACTCTTTCTTGCATTTATTACACCATTGAGTTTTATTCCAACTATCTTATTTTATCAACTAAACTCTACTCATTTTATTCCTATCAAGGTTTATTTGTTTCTAACCCTTTGAACTGTTGTCACAATGTTCTTTCATCACATAAGGTATATATTTACAATATTCAGTCTATTAAATTTATTTACACCCTTGCTATACTATATGAATATGTCTTTAATATAACTTCCAATCAAACTCTTTTATGTAAGTGATTTAAACCCATTAATTATGATTTTAAATATCACAGATTGTAAGCAGCTGACGAGAACCAACGAAATAAAAATGAATTCATGCTATTCTGCTAGAATGTTTGTTCTTGCTCTTTTCAAAATGATAAAGGGAACTATGTGTATATAATAGAGACAGTTGTACAACTGGAAAAAGAAAAAACAACTATAGTTTACAATATAAGAAAAATGCCCAAAGAAAATATTGTTCCATTTTACATAATAAGCTTTGTTATTAACAATTAACCTCAACATATAATTACTGGGGTTTAGTTGAAAAGTTACATTAAAAGTTATATTGATTGCTAAAAATATTTACATGCGTGTGTATGTTTGCTTATCTACTACAACCAATCTACCAAACCATATACCAACTCTTTACTTAAGTGAATGATAAAATGAGAGAAAAAAATCAACCAGAAAACACGACCCACTCTCATCTTGTTAATGTATTGCAATGAGAATAGAAGGAAGCAACTTATGCCACATCCTACCTACTTTCATTTAATACATATAACTAAATGTATTTTCTAGTATGAGAATAGACAAAACAAAAATTCTAATCAATAACACAAACCAACTAACTATAATAACAATAAATTATTGTTATTATTATTATTATCATTATCAACTGCATGCAAAAATAAATGCCTTCAGGCTGAATCAATCAAATAATCGATATCTTGTCATAAATGAAAAAAAAACAAACAATTGATTATATTATTTAACAAAGCCTTATTAATGTCGATGAAATGTAAACAATTAAAAGAGTTTATGTACATTTGTTTATCTGTCGTTTTATCTGTTTGCTTATGTGTGTTTGTGAGTTAATGCCAGTGTGAGTATGTGTTATTTGAAATAAGCTTGATATCTTATTTATTGTAAGCATAGTAAATAAAATAAAAGAGAAGCACAACAATAAATAATAAGTAATGATAATGTCAATACCAATATATCAGTGAAATTATAGAAAATGAATTCGGATAATAATAATAATAACAATAATAATGGTATTGCGTTGATGAATAGTCCTACCTTTCTCTAAAATACATTAGTTATTATTATCACTGTGCAGAATAACGAGGGGAATTTCAAAACTAGAATGAATATTATCCATGTTGAATACCACCTGATTTTTTATTGGTTCTGCTTAGTTAACAACCATTTAGTTCATGATGAACATTACTAGTTTGATCGAAAAAAAGATATAACATGTAGGTGAAAGAAAATAAATAATGATTCACATATTTGTGATCTATCATTATTTACTAAGTTATTAAATGCAAATAAAGTCTAAATTCAACTTATACACACATACAGAGAGAAAGAGAAAAAATAGTTTCTAGTGAGATTTTTTGTAAAATAACCCTTTTAAACTTCTAAATTATACTACTTTCCAGTTGTCAAAATATTGCAGTAAATTCCACCGCTTTTGATTTAATTCAACTTAGTTATTGTACATATTTTTATAGAATGCTTTCAACATATCGGGAAAGTAATTGCCGAAAAATTCAAGTGTAACCGACAACACAGTAGTCGGTATATTTCTCATCTTATTTATTCTCCAGACAAACAAGAGGTAATTAGACTATTTATTTATCGAATATTTTATACGATGGAAAGAGAATTGTTACAGGATATGAAATTGATACAAAACATTTATACATAAAGATGATAACTTTTGACATTTTATCTCAATCTTCATGAGTTAAATAAATGTATAAGACGAGAATACGATTAAACATTTCACAATTGTCTTTTGAATGAACATTCTTTATTGTATTCTAATCAAACATAGGGTAGTATTGACCGTGTAGATGATTACAGGTTGCAGATAAGATTTCCTGAAAAACATTGCTCTGTATTTTTACTGAGCCCCCAAATGCCCTGGTACGGTCGAGGGCGATAAGAGACTGCCGTCCCTCTTGAAATGCTCTTACGTGGTCACGCGTATACAACCACCGCTAGCGAAGGCCTACTCACTGCCTTCTCACAACGAGGGTATCGCTAACAAAACTAAGAGGACAAAAAGCGAATGTTCGGCGCTCTAACCGGATTTGTGAATATGAAGGATCCACCTAGGGGAGTTGGAAAACCATGATTCCAAACCAATGGTGTACATGGGATCCAGGATCCTAAGGAAACGAACAGCGTATGAACCAATCGTTGGTCACTGGCTACCATGGGACTGCACCTCCTTATGTTGCTCCACTGCTTTGTGGATTAGACCTTTAGGTCAAAGGCTTCGGGTGTAGCCCCCCAAGAAAACCACGTGCTTCAGTTTGGGTACCCGGGCAGTATCCTGGACCTCTCACAAATTGAATGATTTGTGTGGCCCATATGTATTTGGTGCCTCCTTGTACCAATGTTTATGTGTTTAAATAAATAAATATTCCTATAAAATATTTTTATACATTTTGACACTAGAAGTATCAAATGATAGACAATTAAAATCAAATTACATTTTACAACACTAACTGAATAAATCATAATATTTAGGGTACTCTTTTTTACATTAATTATTTATTGTAAAATGATAATTGCTGGTTTATAACTGTAAACAACGAAAATGGAAATTACTGAGAACTACTGTTCTTCTAAATATTATCGAGTTATATAGCTGCAGTAAAGTAATAATCATCACCTCGTTGCTCGGAAACAATGCAACATACTACTAACGAAAAACATATAAACACAGATAATCAGGTGAAGTTGAACAATCCAAATATCAATGGATAGTTCAGCTATAGAAAGGATTTTTAATTGTGAGTAACGATTATCAGTTAGCGTTTGATAAAATAAATTGAACAAGTCAACACAGTCATTGCAAAACAATAACACTCATTTTCATAGCAAGAATTAAAAAAATGATAACATTCCTATGATATTTTAACCAGTTTAATTAGTTGGTTTTAATATTTCCAAATTTAAGGAAAGGAACCATTATAGTGACCTTTTCTCTCTAATAATTAAGAGATAAAATAAATAAATGAACTGATCCTTAAAAAACTATACTAACGATTAATTTCATTAAATATATTAAAATAAAAGAAATAAACAATTTTTCCTCTACCAAACTGACATTAATTAGAAAACCATCGAAAGAAACTAGTGATGAGTGGAATCTGTATTCTATTTGTTCTAAAATCTAATCTATCGACCCTTTTCAAAAAACCGAAAATGTAAAGTCATTGATGAACACTAAAAGAGTACAATATCAAATAATACAAATCTAGTCAATTTTGTAATGTAACTGCTAAAACTGTTATTTCATGACTCATTTTAAAATGAGGCAAAATTTTCTAAAAAGTAGAGTAAAACACTATCACTACATGTGAATGAAATAGTAGGAATAAACACATACAATTTATTATAATATCACTGTTCGATTGTGACACAATAATGGTAAGATCTCAATATCCTTAATTTTATTACCATACTGATTCAAGATGGTTATTTAAGGAAAAATAGTCAAGAAATAGTATGAAATATCTACCTAATGTTTAGAAAGTTCATTTTAGTCACCTCATTTGATAATAATTATTGTCCTATGCTAGTTTGTTTGATCTATTGAATATATTTATACAACAAACATGGTATTGTCTAAATAAACAATAGTAAATTAGTATTTAATTTATTGTGAGAACAATTGTATGTAAATAAATTTAAGAGAAATGTACACACCTGCTTAAAAGATCCATGTTGAAAAATGCATAATCTCCATTAACCATATTTAATTTATGTGCTTCCAACATAATATCCCGTACAACTTCTGGATCTGTGCACAGTATTATAACTGTAAGAAGAAAGAAATGAGGAAAATGAACAAATTATTATTTGTGAATTAAGATAGCCAAATATAACATTTGTCATGTTGCACTCTGTATACAATCCGATTTTTTCTAACTTGATTTTTTACGAAAACAAAACAAGCATTTAATCAGTCTTTCCAGTTAATGGACATTTACTTTATGACCACATTACTTATGGCATATAATTTCAAAGTTCTAGACATATATCGAGTACTTTCATGAGATATTAAAAGTACTTTAATGAAACCAATGATTAATTGAATTTTTAAACCGGTTCGGCATTTTCTTACATGCTTTTACTTCTCTTATTTCACTTACTATATACTACATTGAAGCAAGTAGGTTCAAGTACACTAATTAGCTAAATCTTAACTTACTAAACTCCAACACAGAATATTTGATTATTAATTGTTGGAAGTACCTTTTTTAAAGAAAACAATATCAGAGATTCTTTCACTCGATTCATCTAGCAAACCCTATATATATATATATATATATATATATATATATATTCAGCAAATCTTGTTTTTTTCACTTTATTTAAATTTATCAACGGATCACGGTACATGAAATATGGAAGAGCTAACATACGAAAACTCTACACAATCGACTTATCGGATCATGTGGGTGTTCGGCGAAGTGTGGATCACACCAAAAGGTTTTATATGAAGCAGAATAGTTATCTATTCCACAAAATAATAGGCCATTGGTTAACACCAGAATATCTGAGTAATGAGATGGTTGAGTATCCTTGTAGGGTTGTTTAACTTTACCCTATCGATCATTAACGTACTCAAAAGACTTTTACATTAAATCGACAACAAATTATCTCCAAAATTATTTTACCCATATAGGATCAATTGGTTTAACCATGCAATTTTTTTCTAATTACAGATAATTATATGAACCTTGTATATGAAATGGAATTACCTAATACTATCTTTTTTTGTCTTCGCGTTTCCCACCAGAAAACATTAGATCCTAAATCCTGCATTCTATAGCCACCAAGAATTGAAAAAATCATTTGCTGATCTAAGTATGGTGCCCTAGTCTTACTGGACCACTCCGCCTGCATTAATGTTAATTCAATAAACTCGGATCCCTTCTGTAAATTAGACGCGTTCCCCGTTGATCAATGCATTACATATTCTAAACAGTAAAAATAGCCCTCAGTTAATATCGAACTCGAAAGGGTTGTGTATCACCAGGCCAATGTGACGTCTTTTATCTTAAACGTAAATGACATGGTATTTATTCCGCGTTATCAGCGTGTTTAGGTTTTTCTACACCAAGTATTAAAAACAACTCTATGCTTACAAAATAGATGAGTTCCATAAATAACGTATTTCAAAAACAATAATGCACTCTAAGATATATTCACCTCTAATTACGCAATTTGGTTGAATTTGGTTGGTTATTAACATTAGATTTTCACAAATAATTTATCCTTATTTTTTTATTAACTGTTCCCTCCCTATTTATATAAACTTGATCATATTTATCGATTGATGTGGTTTCGGTGATTGTCATTCGAACATATGTATACAAATTGAATGAGTTAATTAAGTTAGAAACTCTAGATAATTTTGCTGAGTTATCTATAGTTTCTGAGTGGCAAAATGTCATGATAAAGCTTTACTTCATTTACTTCTATATTCCTATGATAATCTAATGCATATAAGGTTTACTAATTATTTTATAAAAGAGGTTCTCAAACTTATTTTTTTAATTTAACAGGGAATAATAATAATGATAATTAAATTCTCTCAAGTGAAACTTAAATAGTTGACAGCGACTGCTTTTAAATCTAAATAAAAATAAATGAGGTAAAACTAAAATAATGGTTAAGATAATCATGATAATACCGATAATAATGACTAGATATAATATGTCAGTATAACAAATATACATAGGTTTTCAGTTGTCTTCAGTATCTATTATAAAATGACACAAGCAAACACAAGCAAGGAGGATAATCTTAATTAACTAAAACAAACATATACGTATGATTGACTGATTTACCAATTAGTTAGTTGATTAGGTGACCTATTGTTAAAGTGGAAAGATAAGTAAATTGTGATGATAACAGGGGACAAGAAGAAAAAAGTATGATATGCTCTCTGCTCATGGTGATTAGCTTAATGTCATTTAGAAAAATATTTCATGTATTTATTATTTCCTTAAATAAATGTAGGGAACTGAAAACAAAATAGTTATAAAGTTCTGAATCATAATTTTCTTTAAATATGTTATGAATATTTTTACACAAAAAACTAAGGCAAGCATACATCCAGTTGAGTTTTTAAAAAGAAGTGGAAAGTATTTCAAGGTATTTGAATTTTTCATTAGATAAGAATTAATTGATTACAGAGCCTAGTAATATACGCTTTCTTGCATATTTGATCTGACCTCATTTTAAATATAATTACATTCTTGCCAAGAACATACAGAACTGAATAAGAAATAATCAGATGGTAAGCGTAGTAATATCCCCGATATTAAAATAAATCTATGTATTAGAGAATTATTTAATTCAAATTAGGAATAAAGAAAATAAACACATGGGAGAAATGCTTATATCAAACTATTTAATATGTATATTACCCATTCTTGTGAGAGTTATCTACCACAAGAGTTGAAAGATCATCATGTAGTACCGCGAACTGATTAAAGTTAGAAACCCTAACCATTCTGTAGGCTAGAAACGAAAAGTTCTGAGTTCGATCCACGGTACGGTCGTGGATGCATACTACTAAGAATTTCCATACAAGGACGAAACAGCTGTTCACTCCTTCTTGGTGTTTAATGGTTGCTTAATTGAGATCAGTTTGTGATACAAACTGTGACGATTCCTAAATTCACTAGCTTACTAGGAAAACATTTCAAAAAATCCCTCGCTGATAACAAAAACAAAAATGGATGAGTGAAAAACTAAAGCCAAGAAAAGATCCAGATATTTCAACAAGTTATTTATTTTTGTTTGTTTTAATATATCATTATGTTTATTAATCGCATGATCTATTCTGCTGCGTCTCTGAAAAGTGTACAACCTTTCGTTGTTAAAGTTACAAAAAACTCAATAAGAGACAATGTGGTTGCTGGCAATATACAGCGAAAAGAATGCACATTATTCAGATGTTCATTTATTGAACTGCTAACATCTAACTGGCGATCACTAAATATTTATCGCCAGGATCAACCAAGAAGAAAGAAACGGAAACTTGTTGAAATACTTTACGCTGAGAACTCTATATTGTACCAAAAATATAATATTGAATAAAGCTGATAATAATAATTATATATATATATATATATATATATATATATATATATATATATATATATATATATTGGTTTATAAAGTTAAGAATACGTAATAAACAAGATATGGGTTTCTCTGTTCTCTGAATTCTCACTTAAATTTAACGTTTAGAAAACAATCAACTTAAAACGACTATTGGCATCTACCACTTGTATAAAAAGGCATATGGATGATGCTTTCACCATTTGCGACAATAAATATGATTTAAAATCATCTACAGAGATCTCATAACTGTCACTTGTAATAAAACTTCATACAAGAAGTTAAAACAATGTGTTCAGTTTCTCGATGTAAAAATGGAAAGAAAACACTATGGAAATTTGAGATCTGGCTACAGAAGACCCTCGTAGAATGACCAGCTGTCAAGCTTCCACAGCTGGATCCTCATAAGTTGAAAGCGAAACTTAATTATATCCCTCACTACGTGGATATGAAGAATCTTTAGTCCCGAAGTTTCAGTTAACGAACTGAATCTCTTCAAGAAAATACTAATCAAAAACATGTGTCCACTGGTATTTATTGATAAGAACTCAAAACTCAAACCTCCTGAAGAACAAATAGCCTCCATACCAAAAACTTTCTCTATATGGATGTCGATTTCAAGGGTGATAAAGCTGCAGACATCCTGAAGAAAAGAATTTTCGACTCCCTTAATAGGACGTTCTTCGCAGCAACTTTGCGATTAGGGTTCTCCAGCTGTTCAATGTTTATTAATAATATAAAGGATAAAACCTGTCATTAGACATATTCCACGTCCATCTATCTCCCAAAGGTAGTGAGCTTTTGTCTTTTTAGGATTGTCAAAGCTTTTGCGAAACATTTGAAAAAATCGGGATTATGTGCCCAAAAGAAACGCGTACAATGTTTTCTATTACTATGGTCTTAATCTCGTGTGATTTTCTTTTCTCTTTCCCTCTTTCACGCTCATCTGCTACCCACCTCATTATTCTCTATAGACCTTTGACCCACAAACTGCTTTGTTTCTGTTTCTATGATTCCTCTGATTACATTTCATCACAATTCAAGCATTTATCACACTGAATATTCTCTTTTTAATTATAATCCTCAATCTATCTTCATGATAAATATTCAAGATCTCGACGACAAAAACAACAGTATCAGTTTCTCTTAGTAACAATATTGTTTATATGCCTTTATTTATTTTAAATCACTGTTACTATGTTTAGCAAAATTTTAATTATCACTATTACTATCATTATTATCCTTTTGAAAAATAAGTTTTGAAAATGAATTTGCTGAACCAACCATTAAAAAAAACAAACCCATCCAATTCTTATATACATATATTCGGAATTCAGTGCAGAAAAATGACATAAGTGTCAAATATCAGACAAAAACAAAATAATTAGTGAAAAAAACATTTATCTAGTTTTATTTTCAAATGAAACATTATCTTTACGAACCCACTGAAATTATTTTATTATTTACAAATTATAATAACAATTTAATAGTAACGATTGAATTATCATTATATTTTCTTTTAAATACAATAGGATTTTAACTTTTATTCCTTATATTATTCTGTTTATTTGATATAAAGGCTAACTATAATGTTATCTATTTAAACTTAACTGATCTAACAGAATTTGTATTGACATATACATATACATAACAAGCGAACAGTGTTTTAATTAACTTAGC